CCCGCCGCCCGCCGTCCGCTGCGCCCCGCCCGCCCTGCGCACTCTACCACATAGCACTCCACACTCCTCGATCCGACTGCACAACTCTACTCATCTACTCTCAGCTGGAGCGGCAGCTTCAAAAAATCGTGCATCCGCAGATTACTTTATAGCATACTACTTCATTGAATCGTTGTTATCACTATCATGCTTCCATAATGGACGAGTAAATTATTGATCATTGAAAAATGATTCATTTGAAACATAAAGCTGTACTCAATGATATATTTTCAAAAATTTACGTGAAAACGATGAGTTATTGGTATAACTTCATACCACTTAGTTTATGAGTAACATCATTAATGCCTTTATTAAGAAATATCTCAACAGTTTTATTATAACATCTAAATAATTACTTTTTGCACTGTAGACTGGTGTTGGTGTTGATGGAATTGTTAATTAGTGACATCAATAACCTTCATTAATAATGTAACGAATATTAAGAAAGAAGTTACAAAAAATAACATATATTTTATGCTTAAAAACGAAAGATGCCTTTCGATTCATCAATAATATCAATGCATCAATAATATCTACTATTATCTGTTAGATACTGCTAAGTGAATTACAATCATTTAAAAAGATACAAACTAGCTGTCGCCCCCGACTTTGTCTGATCAGAATTTAAAAAAAATGTTAAGTAGTCGATTTTTCCAGACTGTGATAGACATGCCTCTCATGAAAATTCGTTCAGCCGTTTAGGAAATACCGTCTAACAAACCTTCTAACCTAAAATACAAGCTTTTGCATTTATAATATAAGTAAGATAGGTAGTCAATTTTATGCCCTGGATAAACTTGGCCAGTACAATCGGACAGTTGCGAAAGCCAGTTACAAGTTGTATGGACCACTGGTACCAGTTAGCGTACACTGTGCCAATTGATTGACAGTCCAGTTATAGAGCGCTAATGATTAACTGTACTGGCCAAAAAGCCAAATGTGAACCGCTCATTTAAGATTGCCATTTTAGAACCCTTTTTTTTCTATACTCTTTACTCTATGTACGCTGTCAATGTCAGTGTCAATGTCATCGCCTTACGTCAAATACGTTTTTAACCTGTGGCAGTTCTGTATGGCTGATTATTTATTATTTGCAATTATTTGCAGAGATTCGTTGAAATAATTGGAAATAACATAATGTCACATAGTGATAGCGTGTACTGCTGCATAATATAGTTTACCAACAATGTAGATTGAGATTGTGAATGAGGCGTATCTAAAACTTTTGAGAATATAAAGAAATTTTGTTAAAGGTATTCATAAATTCTAATTTTTACATTTATTTATTTATTTATTTATGTTTATTCCTATATAAGTGTTTTTATTCAGGACTTTAAAAAATGGAAAATCCAACGTCCAGTGATATGAGATCAGTCCAGCTGTCTCCAGATTCGTGGTTGCATCCGGCAAATAAGGTTCATAGGTTTTTAGCACTTTTATTAATGTGCTTCCTTTGTTTCGGTAAGTATGTTTTAATAGAAACCAGCATTTATCATACACAAATAGACATTGTCCTCACAATATGTTTTATGTTTATATACAAAAGTGTAAATTATACTCTTTTCCATGCCACTAAATTATTCTGCATTGTAAATTAGTAAGTTAAACTCCAAAAGCAGATGTAATGACTCATCATAAGTTTTCACCAATTCCTTTAACAAAGATTGATAAAATTATGGATTAGTGTTATATTCTATCTTTAGGAAGGATACTATACTTTCCCATTTAGCTTATTATTTGAAGTTGTTATAACTATATAATTAAAAATGCCTAAGATATTGCAATTTGCAGGATAGAAAATTATACTGTTTTTGTATTTTAACAATAATGTCTGTATTGGTATTGTAGAGAGTTATTTGTTTAGCTCCTAATGAAGGAAAAAAAACTATATCTTAATTCTCATTTTAATGTGTTAACTCATTTCTCAGGTTCCTATTTCTGCTATGACACACCTGGAGCATTAGCTGACAATTTCAAGGGAGATTCTCATTTGAATACATCACAATTTGCATTACTATATTCTATATACTCGTGGCCAAATGTCATATTATGTTTTATCGGTGGTTATTTGATAGATAGGTTTGTATACTTATATGTAATTTTATTATAGATATGCATATTTTGTTAGGTATGATATCATGTTTGACAAGATAAACAAGTGTGCATAGTTTGTGACCTTATTTACCTAATGATTATTAATTTAGTTACAAAGTTTAATGCATAATTAGTTGATAGTTGCACAAAGGAACCGCATGCATAAAAATGCATATCAAGCATTTTTAGCATTTTACTATGAAAAAATCAAATGTGTATGCTTATCAAATAACATTAAAAAAATATTTTAACAAACAATATGGAGATAGATAGCCATGTACAGAATTGTATAGGACAATTTGTTTAAATACTGTAATGGAATCCTTGATTACTCATATCTTTATCTCAACAGAGCCATGTTTTGCACTCCAAATGGAGGCTGACTCACTACATTCAATAAAAATATAATGTTGCTAAAGTCATAGATAACAATTTAAATAGTGAAAATATGGGATATTTATTCTAAAATGATCATATTTACCTAGTTTATTTAGCCTCTGAGAGATCACAATACAACAGAATGTGAAGAGGCAAAAAAAATAGACAATAGGGGAATTACATAAAATTATGTATGATTTAAATCTATGTTAATGTTTTAAGACTTATGTAAACATTTGGTATTTTCAGATATTTTGGGATCAGATTTGGGACAATTATATACATGGTCATTGTGACCATAGGAGCAATTGTTTTTGCAACTGGTGTTTATATAAATGTTTATTGGCTTATGATCCTCGGAAGATTTATTTTTGGGTAACAATTAATATTAAATACTTGGCAAATTGTTGGAACTAAAAATGTTTGTCTCCAAAATAAGTCAAATCTTTTATGGAAAAACTTAATAATTATCTTATTTTTCCAGTATAGGAGGAGAGTCCTTGCAAGTGGCAGTTAATAGCTATGTGGTGTTATGGTTTAAAGGAAAGGAATTGAACATGGTGTTTGGGCTCCAGCTGTCTTTCTCTAGATTTGGAAGTACTGTCAACTTTTGGGTAATGGAACCTATTTATAGATGGGTAGCGAATTACTATGGTGGCTATGAACGTCTTGGAGTAGCTTTGTTTATTGGTAAATAGTTATTATGTTTTTTTTTAATATTATATTAATAAACATTTAAAATTAAGTATGTGATATCATTTTTAGCATCATTTACATGCGTGGGATCTCTCATTTGTGGATTAATACTCGGATGGATGGATTACCGAGCTGAAAAGATCTTGGGTCGACATGAGGAACAAAATGACCAGGAACCATTCAGACTTCTAGATATTTTACACTTCAAACGAGTGTTTTGGCTTGTATCTGTTATATGTGTGGCATATTATTTAGCTATTTTCCCATTCATAGCTTTAGGAAAGTAAGTAAAATACCACAATATTGTTAAATTGCACTAAATGTACATTAGATAATGTAAGTTAATGTAAGAAGAGTGTCTTCTAGTATTAACCATAGTATGTTATGTAACATGCTACCCAAAAGATACTGTTTAAATTTTCTACATGTATGCACATTTTTACAGATTATTCTTCGAACGTAAATTCGACTTTTCTCCACAAGATGCTAATACGGTAAACTCAATGGTGTATTTGCTGTCGGCGGCTTTGAGTCCGTTCTTCGGCATTCTGATAGACAAGACTGGAAGGAATGTGATGTGGGTGATAATAAGCACAATCACAACAATTGGATCTCACTTTTTATTGGCCTTTACGTTTGTTAATCCATATGTTGGAGTGGTAAGAAAAAATATGATTTTTCTACATTCTTTTATTTTTTTCTAATCGGTTCTTGATTCAAGTTATTTTGGGTAATTGTTTCAGATCTCATTAGGTATTTCATATTCATTGCTAGCAAGTGGATTGTGGCCACTTGTTGCTTTGATAGTCCCTAACAATCAATTGGGTACAGCATATGGAATGTAAGTACTTTTTGGGGAATGTGTTTTTAAATATATGTTATTTTTTTATTACATTAACATGATTTTACAGATGTCAAGCCGTCCAAAACTTAGGTTTAGCTACTGTCCTTATCCTGGCTGGTGTTATTGTTGACAAATATGGATATATGATGCTGGAAATGTTCTTCTTAGGATGTTTATTCAGTAAGAAGATAATAATAATTTAATAATTTATGATTTGTCAAATTTTTGCCCTATTTAATTGAATGTTGTTTTTTTAGTATCACTTATTGCCGCCATATTGATATATATTGTGGATTCTGCTAACAATGGAGTTCTTAATATGTCACCAAGTATGAGAGAATCAATGACGGACACGTAAGTCTAAATTTATTTGGTCCAATATACCCTTAACAGAAATATAAACCCCCTTGCAATATTGCGGCATCATTTATTTGTGCCACATTAAAAAGTAAAGTAATAAAGAAGTTGATTGAAGCGCCATAGCCATAGGGCTACTGCTATCATATAAAAATTCTAGTCATAACTAGAATTTTTTGTTCTTTGTTAGGCAATAATTTGTAATTGGTAACACTTGTCAGATTTATGTTTTTATCTTCAGAAGTGAATGTCGTGACGAAACTGCAAATCTGTTGGAACATGAAGATAGTTCAGATCAAGAGGTGACTGACTCGAGAGAGCGACCAAGCGTTGATCCGCAGGAGTCTCAACGTGATTTCACACAATCACAATCTGACAGAATACGCAGTAGATATATAGCGCAATTATTGCCAAATACTAACATTCCAGAAAGACAATAGGCAAAATAATCACTATTATGTAATTGTAAATATAATATAATGTAAACAATGATTGTAAAGACATAATATAATGTAGTATGTAAAATAACGTCAATTTAATTTTGTAATACAATATAAAAATAAAATGTACTTTAATCTTACAATAAAAATGTTTCATTCACCATAATTTTAAAAATTTCATTATCAAATATTAATTTTGGTCAATTGTATAATTTAATTATTTTGCATCTATCTAACGTGACATTGGATCATTTATTTATTGCATTTTATCATCAATATTCCATTCAAAGCCATTACCAGGCAGAGGACTATAAATGAATGGTGATATCCAGGTTAAGTGCCACCTGGCACCTAATACCTCTATTAAATTACTCTTCCAACCTTTATTATAAACAGACTTTGAAGAATTTTTATTTTCTGGTGTAATTTTTCCATTTAAAACATTGTTAAAATGATAGAAAAATAAGAAACCTGTAAACAATGCTACTAATAAATTAATCAAAACCAAAAATACATAAACACTCTCCAGACCAAAATCTATAACAAAACTGGCCAATGGAAATAGAAATTTAATAATAATAAGGCCATGATTCCATGATATGAATTGTGCTAAAAATTGTACATTATAATAAAAAGCATATAACATTGCCACAAATATATCCAGTGTGAACATTAAGAAATATCTATAATTAAAATATCCAATACAACAAGCAAAGAATGTACAATGATGGTCCCGTTTTAAAATGCATATGTTACAAGTATCACAATGCCATGCACGGGGTGGACGCAAACAGTTGCACTCAGCACACAAACTCCAATCTTGTTTATCACAAGGAGTCACTTTCCCTTTAACACTTGTATCAGTAAACATCCCAAAAATCATGTTTCCAACTATATTAAGTATCAAAAATGCTGCACAGCAATAATGAATAAAATAAGGTAAACTCCATTCTTCAACTACAGCTGGCAACACAATACAAAGCTCAAAGTAAATAAATACAGGCACTAAAATGAAAATGATCGCAAGGTATATGCTATGTTCTAAAACACGTTTAATTCTTACATTATTTTTTATATTAAATTTCAATATCAAACTGTTTCGTTTAAAGCACATCTTTGAAAGTAACTTTAAGTATGAGATATATCACTTTTAGCTTATTGCTAGATATTTTGTAAAGACTGGTTCTAAACTTTCAAAAACTTAAATTGGAAGTTTAAAATTTAATTACGTGAACACATTATAAAGGCACATTAATCGCTCTCGTCAGTTGTTTCCCTGAAACAATGTAAAATTAATTCAAGTTTACATTCCAATATATCTAACCAATTTAATAGATGAAAAAAAAATTACTTGCTGATTTGAATTACAAAACATTTACATTATCTTGTGTATAAGGGAATCACTAAAAGTGCAATTCTCTTTACTTCGTGACATGAGGTCGTTTACCTTGCATACAAGGTATTAAGGTGAAAGTAATTTGTTAACTGATTGCAATTAAAACTACTTATGTCACAGAAACAATTTCGAAGAAGAAAATCGCTTCATGAATTTAAAATTCAACAATTTATCTTATTAGATTATTTATCCTTATTATTTTTCTATTTCGTTTTACTCTCAAAGAAGATAATATGTAAACAAAATTTATGCATAACATAACCTACCTTAAGTCGTTGCGACTTTAATATAACACAACATGCATTAAATAAATAAAACATGATATCTTATACTATTTTTACAGGCTCTTAACATTTGTTTTCTATTCGCGTTTTATTTAATTTAATGATTTGAATCCACAATTTGTGTAGAATTAGTCAAAGAGTATATAGATATAGAGACAAGTAGAGTTGACATTTAAGCCAAGCCATTAACTATGAAAGTAAACATTGACAATAACTTTTAACAATCGAACATCGATGTTTTTAAAATATACCGCAGTTAGCTTTTTGAAAAGTTACCTAGCGGAAATTAGCATATTGTTTGAATTATTTTCGTTGACTGATCTGATTTTACTCACTGATCCTAGTAATGTTATTAAGTAGCTTACGTAATTTTTTAATCGACAGCAAAAATGTGGAATGAAAACAAGTTATTTTTTTTATATAGTTTATTAAAGCATTTTCCAAAAGTTTGAAATCTCGATCTACATAATAAATAACACCATTTATCTATATCTATAATATAAAAATGTATATATTTTAATATATATTACACTTATTTATCATAAGACAAGTATAAACTTATTCTTACATGTGATAATCAATTTTTTTAGTAACAGCGGCAGTGTTTGTATTCAATTCAAAAATATGAAAATAACTTCTGATGATCCCTACCTCTAGGAACAGGACGATTTAAGATTTTATAAATATTTAACCATTCATCTAATTAAGTTCTACACAAGGAAATCACTTGTAAATAAAAATCTTTGTATGTTACAAATTAATATATATCTCATCCATCCCTATAGCAGAGCAATAAATTCAGTCTGTGCTAATATTAATACTTGAAAACCATTGGTAGGACGTATTTTGAGTATAGTACTTTATCTATTTTTATAATTTTAGAACAAAACATAATTTGAAACTGTCTTCACTAAAATGAATTATGAAGATTTAATAACGGCGTTACTAACAGGAATTACATTGCAAATACGGCTTATGACTGTGAATATTACACTATTACTATTATTGTACATGGTATAATTAATATCAGTTTAGTTTTAATTGAAATAGCTGCTTTTTACATATAATCCTTTAGAAAATAGACAATTTTCAGATTTTATTATAGTAAAAAACGTATATAAGAATAAAAAACTGGTTTAACGGTTGTCTACAGGAAGCTTGATTTATTACTTGGCATGGAATTTTTTGCTTGTATCTTTGGCCATGTCGACAAGAGTCTGAGCTGGTTTGAACGGAGCTCCATACAAGCTCTGGAACTCTTCCATTTTCTTAACTAGTTTATCAGCACCATATTGATCAACCCATCTGTAAGAAAAATAATGTGTTAAGATTTCAAATAACAATGACAACAAAGGCGTATGCCATTGGCTAACAGTTACCGTTACTATAGCAATCTTGCTTCTATGCTCCCATTTTTTTTTCAATTCATGGACCCCTAAATTAAATAGCTTAAAATATATAGCGTGTCGTAAGTGTAGCGCTTGTTTTAATTAATAACAAGTAGCCTATGTGTTCTTTTATCTATCCCATCCAGATCCATTCAGCTGTCTACAAACTCTAACAAACATGCATCCATCCAAACTTTCGCATTTATAATATTAGTAAGAAGTAAGATAATAATTAAAAAACATGCTGTCATTGCTAATATCTTACATAATGAACTGTTTGTTTACGTCTTCTCATATTAATATAGGTGAAAATGAGTAATATAAAAATTATTCTAACCTGAAGGGTCCGCCGGTGAATGGCGGGAATCCGAGGCCGAAGACAGCGCCCACGTCGCCCTCCAGTGGGCTGTGCAGGATTTGTTCTTCTAACGATAATACTGCTTCGTTCACGAACCTGAAATTATTTTAAACATAAAAACTTATCCATAAAAATCATAAAAACCTATAGAAAAGATTGTAAGGCCGATAGAACACTATGATTATGGGAATCTGTACATGTTCGAAATAAAAGTAAGAGAAAACTTATTTCTTCTCATTAAAGTTTAATTTGAGATTAATATGTCTTTTTTAGATATCCTCCAATCTTCGCTTAGCATTTAAAGTATTCCATACATAGATAAATTGTTTTTGCCTCATGTTTTTAATACCTTGAAACCATACGTAGTTGTTGATCTTCGACGGTATTTGCGCCTTTCGGTTCCAGGGAGTATTTGTCCTTCAGTATTTGCACAGCTTCCTGATTAACGTCCCTGTTCTTGGTGCCCTTCTCGTACACGTAGAAACCTTTGCCCGACTTCCTGCCCATGAAGCCCGCCTTCACCAGGTCCTGCATGATGCCCAGGTCGCCGCCGCTGATGCGCTCACCGAACGCCTGGAATTATGTCCAGTTCAATTTGAAGAAATATGTTTTTTCCAGTTATATCTATAACTAGCGTATGCTCGCGACTTTGTCTGCGTGGAATTTAAATGCCTAGTAGTATAGCCTTATGTTACTATAATCATATAGTAGCTTATTTATTTACTTACTAGCCCTTGATCGCGACTTCGACCGCGTGTAAATAAAGAAAATAATAAAGAAATAGCCTATGTTACTTACTGATATCATAGCTTTTTAATAGTGAAAGGTTTTTGAAATCGGCTCAGTAGTTTTTGAGTTATTTCAATAAATACAAAACTACATTTTTTCCTCATAATATAAGTATAGATTTATCCTATGGAAGACTTACAGCTTAATATAACTAAGAAACTATAAGCTAGTCGACTAGGAGCCTATAAAACGTCTTTGCTTACGGCAGTCTTTTTCAGATTTGCATTTTTAAAATCCGATTAGTTTTGAGTTTATCAGTTATATAAAAAAATTAAAATGATAAAATATTCTATCTTTAACATTAGCATAGATTTATGTGATAAGTTATTAAGTTGTTTGTTTACCTTCGCCAAGTCGAGGGCGATGTGAGCGCCGACGTCGATGCCGACTTCGTCAGCGAGCGTGGCCGCGCCCACGGGGAACCCGAACTGCTTCGTCATGCTGTCCAACTCCTTGGGGTCTACACCCTCTTGTAATAACCTGAAAATTATAATTAAGCATAAATATTAGTAATACAATTGTACATTTTAAACCTACTAGATATTTTCTTCACTAAATTCGCACTGGGCTGATAATTTAATCCTGTACTAAGTAATTTAGTGGGAAAAATACTCTTTACTGTTCAAAAAACGTTCGTATTCATATCGCAGTATATCCTATGCAGTACACAAATGAGAGTTATTTTACAAGATCAACGTCAATGTTTACTAATGAACTTGACTGAAACAACAATTCCAGAGGTTCTATTCGCCATAAAATTTAACAAAATCGTATAACTAATTATTTTACAGCTATTACTCAAGTCTATTTTTTTCGGTGGCGTCACCGTACAGTTTTAGAAAAAATAATAGACGTGAGTAATAGCCGTAAAAGAATTAGTTATACAAATATCTCATGAATGTTTAAATAATTTAAAATCTCTGCTGAGTAGGACTCAGATGTTAATCTACTTGATTAAAGTTATTCAGGTTTCTAGCCTAATGCGAAATTGCATTCACATGTGATAGTGAGCAAGACATATACAATGTTGAGATTTGTGTAAGGCAGTGGTGGCAGTGTTGTTACCTGACAGCCTCACTAAGCATGGTGGAGAGGATGCGTGTGGTGTAGAAGCCGGGCCCGTCGCCCACCGTGATGACGACCTTGCCCTGGCGCAGGCCCACCGCCACCGCGGCCGCCGCGCTCTCCGCGCTCGTGCCGGGGTGCCGGATGATCTCCAGCAGCTGCATCTTGTCCACCGGGGAGAAGTAGTGCATACCTATTGATAAGAAAATCAATACTGAGCTGAATGATTGGTAAGATTTAAAAGTAAAAGGTTGTTGTAAGGTCATGTTATGCGACCACAGGATGGGATAAACCAGAAAGTGTTAAGAGTGAATGTGATAGCTACAAAGGTAAAGGAAGACTTACTTAAGAAATGGGATTTTTATAAAAAAAGGATGGAAAAGCAAAGATCTGACGATGGACGAGACACAAAGGAAGGAGGAATATCCTGTTCATGTTTGTATTTAGCCATTTGCTCATATACCACCTTATCAATAAAAGTTGTTGTCATTTTATCTTTTTCTTTTAATTTCTCAATAAAAGTCTACCCAAAAACTATATCTAAAATCTAAAGGAAAACTCACCAATAACTTTGTCAGGTCGTCGACTGCCAGCGGCTATCTTAGTGATGGGTATAGCGCTAGTGTTTGTAGCTAAGATACAGTGCTCCGGGATCACAGCTTCCAGCTCCTTTATCACTTTGTGCTTTATGTTGATGTCCTCAAACACCGCCTCTATCACGCAGTCCACATTCTTGAAGTTATCATAACTCAGAGTCGGTAATAGATTTGATAAGTATTTGTCTTTTTGTAATCTGTAATAATAAAAACACTATTTGTTAACTCTCTTACCAATTATACTTATACTAGCTGTTGCTCTCAGATATGTTCGAGTGAATTTAAAAATATTGGATAATATAGCCTATGTTACTTACTGATAAAGTATTTTTTTAATGGTGAAATAATTATTGAAATCGGCCCAGTACTTTTTGAGTTATTCCAATACTTACAAAAATACAAATCTTTCCTCTTTACAATATTAGTATAGAAATACAAAAGTTTAGGTGGATGGATGTTAGACGGTATATCTAGGTTGGGTCAAGGAATTTCAATAAAATCGGTAGAACAGCTACTAATCAAGTTATTTTTAGTACCGCGCAAATGAAGTTGCATGCGAAATCTAATATTGATATAAAAATAACTCACGCTGAAACCCTTTTTCGTTTAACAGCATTAACTAAGCCTGTCTGTATCTGTCCCACGCCGCGGTACAGGCCGGCGTTGGTGGCGTCCTTCATCACCACCTTGTAGCCCTTGTCTATTGACACTTGCACGATGCCCGCGCCCATCAGACCCGCGCCCAACACACCGATCTATCATTACATCAAAACATTATTAATGGAAAATAATGAAAAACGTCCCAGACTTAATTGTAGGCCTATTTTATACGATTTGTCGATGTATTTTACGCTTCATACAAATTTTGTTACAATTTTTATCACAATTGTTTGTACTTGGCCTTCGGATATAAAATAAAAATTATTTATTGGTACAAAACAATTTTGTACGAAATCAATGGGACTCTGCCTGAAATAGTAATAACTGTGTTTCAGGAGGCAAGAGCTTCTCTTAACTATCGTCTTGTGTTATTTAACAATTACTGCTATGTTTAAATTGTTAAATGATGACTCTAGAATGGTAAACTAGATTTAATATTAAATATGAAACTAAGGGTTTGTTTAAATAACCTAGAAATTACTCAGCATGTTACCGTTTCTTTAACTAAATAAATATTAATCCAATGAGACATTAAACTAACTTTAGATAAATAATTCTAACTTACAGTTTTAACATCCACTTGCGATTTACCAAATCTGTTCTTCTTACATTCAGTTTGACCTCTGAAAAGGCCGATCAGTCCTTTGCTCTGTGGAGTCATAGCTAGCTCACCGAACCCTTGAGCCTCGGCTTCATAACCTTCTTGGGGACCTTTATCCACACCTGTTCTTACTACTTCAAGAATCTGAAGAATTAATATTAATGAAAACTCTAATTAGTTAAATTCGAAAAGTATGTACATTCTGATAAGTTTAGTAATAAGCATTATTTACTTCATACTTTTTTTTCACATAAAAGTTACTTAATACATCGAGTTTAATAAATATTAGCCTTTGAAAACAATATTGAACATGTAGAAATTTGATTATAATAATTTCTATGTTACCTTCAAAGGTGCAGGATATAAGCCACGAGAAGCTTTCATTACTTGCTCCTTAGCTTTATTAAAGATCATATTCTTAACAAAGTCCCATTTCATTGCTGTTGCCATCATTTTGTCAACTAGTCCCTTCTTAGATCTGTCTACCTTCAGTTTTCCTGATGCAATATCTTTTGCAATTTGAACGGCAACATTCTCTAAATATTTCATCGTATTATCAGCAGGTTGACCTAGACCTGAAGATTTAGAAATAATTTAGACACTATTTTAAATATTTCAGTACATATTTGAGTTTAATTACCACATATAATAGTCTAACTAAATTATCACTTTAATAATTAGAACAATTATTATGTATTTTTATTAAAATTTTGAAATAAGATATAATAAATGAAATGTATACCTGGTCCTAAAGGTGATACTAATAAATCTACAAGTCCTAGTTTCTTTGCTTTATCTGCTTTAACTGTTTTGCCTGTGAGTGCTAAGTCCAAGGTTGTTGGCACCGATGTGAGCTTAGGTGTCCTGTCATATAAACATTATACATTACAGTGATGTTAGGGAAGACCTAAATAAATTAGATAGAAATGAGGAGGTCTCAAAGACTAGAGACATTTTATCGATAGATAAGGTTGGGCTATACTAAACCACATTAAACTAAATCAATGTAATGTGCATTCTTCCAAACAAGTTCATACGCATTAAGTCCTAACTAAAATATGTAAAAACTGTAGTTTGTGGGACTCTAAACTGAATCTGAAATCTGAATTCAATTTACACAATTATCTAAGTGGTTCCAAATATCTTTCCAAGCTTTGAAATGGAAAAGGGATCAGATAAAATGCAGAATTATGCATGTTCTCCATCCTTTTGAATCAGTCACTAAAAAGAATACTATTTTCTATTATTAAATTAAAAATGACAACATAATTTATACCTCTGAGTGCCACCTCCTCCTGGTAAAAGTCCTAACATAACCTCAGGTAATCCAAGACCAGTCTTTGAGTCCTTAACTGCTATTCTATAGCGACAAGCCAGAGCGGTCTCCAATCCTCCACCAAGACAGGAACCTTGAATTGCCGCTACATATGGCTTGCGAGAGTTTTCCATGCGTTTGAATATGTCATGACCTAGTAACAAAGCAAGTAAAGGATTATGCTGACAACAGATCTATTACAATAGAAATATTTTATTATAAAAAAGCATTTTCATGCAACAAATAACTGTCTGTATATTTACAATCTTAGAATAATAATTGCAAGTTTTTAACAATGTTATTAATACATACCAGCTTTTGAAAGACTAATAACTTCCTCTTTTGTTTTGCAGTTCTCAATCATAGTGATGTCAGCACCAGCTATGAAGCAGCCTGGCTTACCAGATATCAGCACAGCGGCTTCTATAGCTGGATTTGAATCCACTTCATTGACAATAGTTCTGAACTCATCCATCAACACTGTATTAAGTGTGTTTACCTGAAAATGTTTTTTTTTTCAAGTTGTTATTCTGTGTTTTTTTTTCAAATAAAGTTAAAGGAATTACAACATATTTTTGTATAACATTATTTATGGCTGTACTAAGTTAAAACTAGTTAGAAAACAATTGAACCAGGTTAACTTTGTTTTGAGTGTCTAATATTTTAAAATTCCATTAAGAATATTAATTTTTATATTAAGAATATGTATAAGTTAGTTAAAAAAATTATTTTTAACCCTTTTACTTTAAAAGTGTTACTCATTTGTTTAGCATCTTGTACGAACTTTGATGACATAATTTTGATGTGATAATATCAAGATCTCTTACCTTAACATTTGGAGAGTCTAAAGTAATGACATAAACGCCGTTGACTAATTTGCACTTGGTGTGAACATGATTAGCTGCTGCAACTGCATATGACCTGCAGTTTGTACCTAAAATTTTCATACTTAGTAAGTTTTAAAATAAGTTACATTTTGTGAATAAATCTATTAATAATCTTATCAATTATGAAAATAAAAATAAAAACTATGTAAAAACCTTCCGACTTACTGTTGAAAAATTTAATATTATTCCGATGTTTAAGGATCTTTAGTGCACTCAACATCTTGCTATTAGACATTTTGAACTGAAAAGATAAATATAAAACTAAAAAGTAGGTCTTTGCAAGATTTAACAAACTTTGAAAATTGAACCCAGACTTTGAACCTAAACTTTCTTATTGGAGTTGACGGACACGCAAGGGTAAGAGGGAAGGAGTGAGGGAGGGGAAGATGAAGAAAATGTTAATGTTGCCATCTACCAAAAAAACAACTCAAGTGTAAAGTAGTGTTGGATGTGATTTTAGTTGCCAAGCTAAAAACATATACAAGTAACGGCAGCTTAGAACATAAATAATTAAAAAATCAAAAATATCATCGTATTTTCAATAAGCATCGGGATTTTTAATTTGATTAAAATAATCAATAACGGTAGGAGATTGAGTCTAAAGTATTCAATATTTGTAACGTATACAGTGCGTGGATGGAGAAATCCATCTTAGGCAGGCATCCTGGGGGACCAACGAAGACAACTAATTTAATTTTTAAGTTCTATGGTATCATGACGGTAGTAACATGAGTTTTCCTTCCAAAGAAATGGGTTAATTAAGTATAATGCTCTTTATTAACTTCTCATTTTAGTTTTCCGAGTTTTATCAATTTAGATGCAGACGAATTTCGAAGTTAAACATACGTAAATGAACATAAAATTATATTTACGTCATCAATAGGGCCTTCTTTGAGATAGGTGCGTCTTTTTTTAATTTTAAACCTTCGCTTTACTATGGTATGCCTGAAACAAATCGTAAAGCTATTATTAAAAGTATATCAGTATAAATATAGTAATTATATTTGTCGTGTTTGTAGTTTGCTTTACCGATAACGTGGAGTTGTTACATTGCGTTGTGTAAATATTTCCAGATAGATCAATCTAGTAATTTCGGAAAAATATAAATTCTTTAAATAAATATTATTACATTATATAAATAAATACACACGAAGCCTCGCCTCACAAAACACATTAAACCTGAAGTAATGACAAAATTTCGTTATTCCAAAATTTCAGCGAAATTTGTTTTTAGATTATGTACATAGTAACAAACATTATATCCATCCATCCACCTATACTTTTGCACTTATAATATTTGTAAGTAGTAAATAAGTGAGCATATTTGTGAAATAAAATAATCATAGAAGCAGTATATTAAATACTACAGTCGTAGAATTCCACCGAGGCATTAAATATAAAATCGCAAGCATTAAAATAAAAATCATGCTATTTCTTCACAAAAGGAGCATTAGCTTTATTACTATCTCTGAGACAGGCGAGAATAAATGTAGATATTATACCACTTGTTGCAATAGGTGCCCCCCGTTGCCGTAGCAACTACACCCTTTTATCCCCCTTCTCCCGACACCCCGTTCCACAGGCTGTCAGGGTCTTGTTAAGTTGAGAGCGGCGGGAGTGGCGCGGGTCGCCTGTAATTACTCCACTTTAAGCTTTTGACAGACGGAAATTGCATGAAACGATTTTATTGTGGATTTATTTATGGAATCTGAAATATCATTTCACGATACGTCTTTCATTTTTCAAAAGATCGACAAAATACTTTTTAGATAATGAGTATCCAATTGATTTTTTTTTATCTAATGGCGTTTGACACACATACATATACGCTTATGTGTTTGTTATCAGCCGACATTAATGATTCGAAAGAAGATGTGACTACACAATAACGACAAAGTATTTTATCTATTAGTAAATCAGTTAACAAAGAATTTAATGAAAAAATTACTTTTTAGTAGCAATGAAAAGAACGTAAATATTATGTACTGCAATTAACATTTTTGAGGAAAATTCAGACGAGTAAGAGATGGATAAAAGCACTAATTTCGGAAACAAAATATGCGAACATAATTTATAAGCAGTAGATAGCAGTATAAACCTAAATAAAATAATATAAACCTAAGTAGGAAAAAAGTAGAGTTACTAATTCTCAGGTTTATACTACTCAAATTTCAGTAAGCTACGTTAGTGTAATCTTTTAAATTGTTTCTCAAGTGATTATTAATTGCTTTGCAGAAGCCTACCGTATTACATCAATACCTTATCTAACAAAAGATATGGAGTATTAAGCCGTAAGTTGATATCGATTAGATGTAATATTACGTACTTATTCAAGCAAGTACACAATCGTTTGACGAGGCTTTAGGCTAAGGAATTGTATGCCTTCATTTTTTTTTACTTATAATGTAATTCTCTTTTCCTACTATTTCTGTAAAGTAAGATATGATGAGATTAATGTTTAATTCACGGAACATTTTCTTCTATATATCTCAAGCGTATCTCTCAAGCGTTGATAAATCACGCTCTCAAAGGGATTTTTACGAGTAGTCAGAGTGAAAAGGAACTGATTCAATTCCCCTTGTCCCGAGGAGGATTGAGGTCGCCTCAACCTCCCCTCCCACTACCCACACCCCCTTTTACTGTACGTCATGGCAGCAAGCAGTAGACTCTCTTGTAAATTATATTATGAACTTCGTTTCACGCTTCGATTAATGACAAATATTACATTCTGAAGCTTTTAAATACTATACTATTGTGTACTTTATCAAAAAATGCATGACTGGCAATGCAGGTAAGACATAAAGAAGAAAATACTAAGAAGTGTAGCTAATTATTTTTTAAATTATTCTAATAGATTGATGTTTAAAAATGTTAAAGCTGTAAAATCTTGAGTTCATAACCAAAGAGGTACCTAAGGTAAAAAAAAACGTGTGCAGTTTGAAGGCGTTTTAGCCTAGATTATGAATTAATTAATAATTATAGTGCAATACTATATTAATATTAATACTTCGTACTTACCTTGATATACTTAAAAAATAACAAAAACGCCGAAAGCGTGGCGAACTTTGTTATTACAGTCTGTTGAGTTTGTAAAGTCCCTCAAATGAGTCTCGATCATCTGATAAGGTTTATACTATAGGACTTCCAGTACATTTTCCTATTGTATGAAACAGAAGTACGAATAGGAAAATACGGTGTTTTATAAAATCAGAACTGACGCAAAATTGTCATCGTTTTTGGAATACTTAATAAATTCAGATCGATTCAACCGATTTTGAAAAATATTTATGTTATGGTAATGTTGTGAATAATTCATATGCGTTAAAGGTTTATTAAGATAATTTATATCAATTCCTTTACCGGATATAATACTCACTGACCTTCCTCATACGGAAGTTTTACTTATTGTTCTAAAGATATACTGTCCTTTTAGATTGAACTAGGGCAGTTAATAAATTTAGCTTCCGAACTTAGCTCGACTTGACGTTTCGTCTCGTTTAATCTTCTAAATGGAGTTAGACTAGTCTATACGTATAGTGAGGTTGGTCCTTCGCGTCATATCGCACAGTATATAAAGTCCGGTGCTACGCCGCGGCGAGCGTAGTGCTAACGAGGCAACGCGTCCGTTGACGACGTGATTTTACGCTCTGAAAAATTTTCATTATCTGCTTTTCAATATCAATAAAAGACATTTCGATTTCGTAATTAACGAGTGTTGAATTAAAAGCTTTTTGTGAAAGTACGAGTAATATAATCAGGTGAGTTTCTTAGTAACGTTTTAGTGATTTTTTTTTCTAGCTCTCAACGAAATCGATATCAATTTTATTAAATGTCTTATATTTAAGTAAACGACTTTTAAGTGATATATGATTATAAAAATTAAGTTTTGTCTTAAAAACTATTTCATGGTTTAAGGTAAAGCAAATATTGTACAGCATATTTGGAATAGTTTTTTTTAATTTCCCATTATAATAATTAATTCATAGGATAAGGAATTATTCCTTGTTAACCTTGACAATAATACTTGTCCAAGTTGTCACTGCAGTTCTGACCAAGCCATTTTGACGTAGAAATTCACTTTCAAAAACAATCAGCAGACCTTGACCTCAGCTGTCTAGATACGATATGCCTGATATTAGATTACGACGGAAGCTGATGCCGAAATTCAAAGGAAATAAGTTGTTTTTTTAAAAATATTAAAAAAATCACGAATGTTTTTACTATTCATGGCCATTAATTTCATTATTATACCAAATGATATATTATGGAACTGTTTTGAACATACCATAATTAAGGAAATAAAAATAAAATAGGTACTTACGTATTAAAAGTTATGTTTCGGATCATTACTAATTAAGAAAAAGCATTATTAATTAAGAAAAAGGAAAAAACAGTTTATAACTATAATTTTTTTTGAGCAATAGTTGCTAATAGGATTTGGATTTAGGTGCATCATGTTGTTATTCCGAAATGATTCTTACGCCGCATTTGTACTTATCATATTTATTACAATTAATTACAATAAATAAATAAAAATAGTAATTATGGGAATTTTAAGTTCTTAGTAATAATTGTTATGTAATATGTGTCTAAAATGATTTATGAACTTACTATATTTGTAAATTGTCGATTATCTTCAAATGTTTAGTTCGTGACTAATGTTCATATTTTATTTCGAGACTTAAAATGATGTCTAAAGAATATAAAGATTTGTATTTTACGATTTTCTTTCTATCTACTCGGTATCAATCGAGTTACGAGAAATATAATTTATTACAAAAGTATTACATTATGTTCGTTATAATAATAACTAGGGGTAATAACTTTTCTGAATTTTTAACCAATATACTAAAAGGTTGTTACATTTCGTTCTGCGAGGTTCTTTGTAAATCACTTTTTCAAGAATAAAATACCCAAATACAAACAAACTTGTTTGACAGCGCGGGAATACCCCAGCACCAGTTCATTGACGCGTTTTTCCCGCTTCACGTCATTTGTGTCGCATAGAAGGAATTACCGAGCAATACTTATGTAGACAATTAGAAAAAATACTGAGCAGGAAAAGTTAGCACCTTTGATTAATTTAAAAAATCTCTAGGAATTTAATACAATTGTTATGAGAAAGAAATAAAACAAAAGATTGGTCGAATTTTACTTTTTTCGATTCGTAAATTGAAATGAATTAATTCGAAAGTTAATTAAATACAATTGCTCTTCGTGAATTTTATTTAGGATTGTATAAAAACAGAATTACTGAATAAGGAATGAATTCTTTGTAAAAATGATTTACTTTAATAATTATTTTAATGCAATCTCGCGTGCATTGATCGCGATCGCCTTGACCGAAGGATTCAATAAACAGAACGACTAGAATGATGATTTTTGAACGATTTTAATTTGTAATAATAATAAAAATATTGCAATAGCAGTTATTTCATATCAGTGGTAGGCAATATTTTCATATATTTTATCAAATACGTAGAATTGCTTATGCCTTATGCTAAACTATTTTGTTTTTAAATGGCAGGGTACTCTATTATTATTAGACAAATGGAAATGGCATCTCCTGAACTCTGCGTTCAACATGTTTCATGTAGTTCTCAGCACTCACTTATGCACATACATGTATTGTAATATTTTATGTGAGCGTACGTACGACAGGTTATTAGTTAGATATCGTTATCTAAACCACAAGCACACTATTCATTTTTATCATAACCTTTTAGACCAATTATTGACAACCAACTGATTGCATTTACGTTAAGAGGTCGTTATATTGTTAGTTACATATAGAGACTAGCTTTTGTCGCTTCTTCGTCCGTGGGGAATTAAATCTAGTAATAAATATATCCTTTGTTATTCAAAGATAATGCTAACTAACGTCTAAAAATTTTTTTGAAAACCAGTCCGGTAGTTTTTGAGTCTATACGTCACATACAAAAATACAAATATTTTGTCTTTATTATATTAGTAAGGGATCAAATTCGTTTGTCTTAAAACAAAACTACAAGATGTTAATGTCGTTAGCGCACGACATACATGTGGTTAGGGCCAGTGAACTTTGTTAGTTTTTATGCAATCAATGCATATCACACATATTGGACTAGATTGGATCAAATTGATTTTGATTTAATGTTTGTTTCATTTAAATTTTGAATTTAGAACGCAGTCTATTCAATACTAAAGTAAAAATTAAAACAATTGCAAATGTGTTAGGTTCGTAATCATATTGGGTAATTTATAAATTACTATTCGACAAAGGAATTTTGTGTTAAGAACAGCGTTAGGTACGGCAACTGCGAGGTCCGAGTTTAACCTCGCACGACTTGCCTACCGCGGGTTATGCAATGCACCGCACCGTTCTCTCGGCATTGAACCACCAAGGATGGCCATTGCAAAATTTAATGATAACATAACAATTACGATGCTTCTGTCGTTGGGTTATCCGAATGTTATCTACATATGTGATAACATAATGTTATACAATACATTACTTACGGATATTCGAAAAGATGTTTAAAAATGATCCCATACGAGACATAAATGATAAGTTAGTACAAACCACAAACTTCTGGATTATTGATATTTAATTACCTCTATGTTTTTATAAGGCAATGTTGCAGTGAGTTTAATAATACATTATCTACGTATGTTACAAATTTAAAATTTTATTTATAGGTCTTAACAATGACGGAGATGGATTTAAAATTGAAATTCGGTTTGTTCAAATTGAAAATACTCTTTATTCTGTGTATTTGTTGACTCATTGTATCTTACCGATTGTTTTTTTTAATTAATTTCGTTCGCCTCTTTTTTTAATAGCTACAACAGTGTTAAAATTGATTTGTGTTGCAAATTCGTGTCTTGTTTTCGTAATTTGTGCTTTAATTGTTCAAGGCGTTTTGTAATTAAGTTATAATAAACAACGAACGTCGTTCACAGAAACAATGGAAGCGGGAGATTTCAAGGATTTCGCTAAAGCGATGACTGACTACATCGCTGAATATCTGGAGAACATAAGAGACAGGTAATTGTGAGTTAGTGATTTGATTTTCATATACTTTCAGTTTTATTACAAGTACCTACAACGTCTTCCGAATTTAAAAAAAAATCTAATTCAAGCCAACTTGCCTGGACAAGTTTTTGGTGTAAGTCCGGAGAAACATCTGTGTTCAGCCTATTATAGTAATTAGGTCACTCCATGACATATTTAGAAACTAGAAAGTTTTAAGAATAGAACACCGATCGTTATTATATCTACAAAACTTTTTATACTTTCCAAACAGTGTTACAATGAATGGAAATTTTAGCGAATGAATTCAAGTGTTCCAAGCAATAAGAGCAAATCAATAAAACGAATTCATCAACACTACGTACAGTTTCGTATACAAGTATCCCTGCTACGTAAAATTTTACTAGCTTGACTTACACTTCTGTGATCTGAGGTAAAATGAACCCTGAAGAGACTGTATCATGTGGAAGTAATAGAATGTATGGGCTTATACTCACTCAATACAACCGTAGTGGAGCAGGTTCCCTTGCGTATACACAAATACTTAAAGGCTCGTACTTTATTTTCCAGACCCGTCGTGCCTTCAGTGAAGCCAGGCTACCTCCGACCTTTGGTGCCGGAGCAAGCGCCGGAGCAGGCAGAACCCTGGACCGCGGTGATGGCGGACATAGAGCGCGTGGTGATGTCCGGCGTGACGCACTGGCACTCGCCGCGCTTCCACGCCTACTTCCCAACCGCAAACTCTTACCCCGCCATCGTCGCTGATATGTTGAGCGGTGCCATCGCCTGTATTGGATTTACATGGGTATGAAATAACATTATTTACGTGTATCTATACTTCGTTACGTAATATTTTAAATTCAAATTATTTTTTGACCAAACATGAATACAAATATTTAATTGATATTGAATTCATAATTAAGAAGGAAGTTGAAACAATTATAAAAATATTATTCTACAAGCCATTGCCAATGTCAACATTCTTTGGGATTTTCATTGAGGACAAGGAAAACCGGTCGCAATGACGTCGATATGAGTCTACATTATTAGGTTTAGCTTGTCGATATGTCCTTACCTGCTTCATTGTAACGAATAAAAACTTTTGGTAACAAAAAAAATGTAGGAACGTTAATTGAGCGTATAGGCTATGTATACCTACAGCTTTTTATATCAACATAGTAAGACCTTGCTTGACTTCTACGGTATGTTAGGTGTTGCTATGAGATACTTTAGTAAAATTATCTCCTCACATTTTTTTATCTATTTGGTATTTTCCAATTCCTTCAATAAAGTCTCACGTATGCTTACAAAAAATGTCTTCATATAACATACATATTTTCAAATATTTCGATGAAGTTTTTGATATAACTATGCGTCAAATGATTGATAAAGTATTAATGTATAAATAATGCTATTTTCCAGATCGCTAGTCCCGCGTGCACTGAACTGGAGGTCGTGATGTTGGATTGGTTGGGCCAGATGCTCGGTCTGCCGGAGTGCTTCCTGGCGCGGTCGGGCGGCGAGGCGGGCGGCGTCATCCAGGGCACGGCCAGCGAGGCCACCCTGGTCGCGCTGCTCGGCGCCAAGTCCCGCACCATGCAGCGAGTCAAGGAACAACACCCAGAATGGACCGACACCGAAATCCTTTCAAAACTTGTTGCTTACTGTAACAGTAAGTATCGATTTTTGAAAATCACTTGCTGGATACTCTTTCTTTCGCAATACTTTTCCAATCATTTACTTTTTTTTTAAATGAAGGGAAAAATGATATGAAACTTCTATTTATCCACAGAACAAGCACATTCATCGGTTGAACGAGCTGGTCTTTTGGGAGGCGTGAAGATGCGTTCCTTGAAGCCCGATAACAAGCATCGTCTCCGGGGCGACATCTTGAACGAGGCTATTGATGAAGATATTAAGAAAGGACTCATACCGTTTTATGTAAGTACATTGAAGACACATTAAGATATTTAGTTGCACACAAATGTTACTGGTATTAAAAACGTATCGTACGCATTTTTTAAAAAAATAAATTAATTGTTCTATTTCCAGGTTGTGGCCACACTGGGAACTACATCTTCGTGTACGTTCGATGCCCTCGATGAAATAGGAGATGTGTGCGCGGCGCGCGACGTCTGGCTGCACGTGGACGCTGCCTACGCCGGATCCGCATTCATCTGCCCCGAATACCGCTACCTAATGAAGGGGGTCGAAAAAGCCGATTCCTTTAACTTCAACCCTCACAAATGGATGCTGGTTAACTTCGATTGCTCCGCAATGTGGCTCAAACAGCCGCGCTGGATTGTAGACGCGTTCAATGTCGACCCGCTGTACTTGAAGCACGACCAACAGGGCTCCGCGCCCGACTACCGCCACTGGCAGATCCCGTTGGGACGTCGGTTCAGAGCTCTCAAGTTGTGGTTCGTGTTGAGATTGTATGGCGTTGAAAATCTCCAGAAACATATCAGGAAGCACATCGCCCTGGCTCACCTCTTTGAGAGGTTGTGCACAAGTGACGAGAGATTCGAAATAGTAGAGGAAGTGACGATGGGCCTCGTTTGCTTCAGATTGAAGGGAAGCAACGACACCAACGAGGAGCTGCTCCGGCGTATCAACGGCCGCGGAAAGATTCACCTCGTGCCCTCGAAGATTGACGACGTTTATTTCCTAAGATTAGCTATTTGCTCGCGTTTCTCGGAAGACAGTGATATTCATATATCTTGGGAGGAAATCAAGCATTCTGCCGATGAAGTACTTGCCCAGAAGTAGACTATATAAGTAATAAGTATTATTGAAATGACAAAATTATAATTGTGGTAATGTTTTAAAGTTAATAATCCTTAGATATAATCTTTTAATTTTAAATTATTGTTAACTTGTAGAGAAGTTTATATACCTTAATTGATATCTCTATGAAAGAGATAATGATGCAAAAAATTGCACAGTATTCTATCTTCTTTATTGTTGAATGTTAATGTAACTGTGAGTATATTACGGAGAAATGCTATACAATTGATTGATTGAGAATTCGTATAGGTTATCGTGCTAGGGTTGACCTATTTATGAAGTGTTAACTAACATACACACGTGGATAAAGATACAAGTGTTGTGGTTTTGATATGACGCATAGTTTTGCACATTAGTTAAAATTGTGCTTATTTATTCGAAAAAGCAGTTATTTATTGTTAAAAAGGTAAATGATAAAATAAATAAACAAGGATTGCAAAAAATTTGTTGTTTTAATTTTTCTGCTACTTTAAGTGAAAATCAATCTATTACGATTCGTACAAGCCTCAAATAAGAATGTTGGCCATTTAAGGTTAAAAAGAAGATAAATTTTGCTATATAATGTCACTTGGTTGTCTTTTTTATAAATATAACCACTTTACTTTTTTTAAATAAGTTTCGGAATAGATAGCGGAATGAAAATGCATTAGTGTTGTGATTAATCAAAGTAATGAAAAAATAACAATATGAAATTATCACGTATGAAATTGTACTCCAACAAGAGCTTGTACAAGTTATTTATATTACCGAAGAAGTGGGCAGTGATCGTAACAGCATGTCGGCCGAAGAGCACCGCCGTCACCACGGGGCAGGAACAATGCTTTCTCGATTCGTGCAGCATAAAGCCCAGCATTCGCGAACCGCGAGTCATTATCGTAGGCGCCGGTATAGCTGGTCTTTCGGCGGCCCATAGACTGACACAATGCGGCATATGCAATTTTAACATTTTGGAAGCAAAAGAGAGGTAAAAGTTTTTAAATACTTCCTATTAATGAGGTATCAGCAATTGAAGTATATAACAACTAATGTGTTTGCAGGCCCGGTGGACGTATTCACTCTTGTTGGCTCGGAGATTCAATCATAGAAATGGGCGCTGAGTGGATACACGGCGCTTGTTTACCCAATTCTGTATACACTCTGGCGTCACAAGATCGGCTACTCCAAGCACCCTTACCTCGCCTGGACAACTCTCGAGGTTTATTCTGTACAAGCGAGGGCCGGGCCGTGGATTTGCCGGTTACCGTCACTGCCTATCACACATTCAGACAAATCGAGCAGCAGGCAGCTAATTTGTTTAGATTAGGCGGTGAAAAGATGCACGGTACACTGCTTAACTTCTTCGGTTTGCGTATACAACAGGAACTGTACAACTTTCCCGAAGATCAAAGGTATGACGCCGCTAGAGTAATGTTTGGCTTGACTAATGTTTTACGAAATAGATGCGGTGACGACTTATCGCTCGTCAGTGCCGACCAATACGGCAGCTACATTGAACTACCGGGCGGAAGCGTGCGCGTGCCGCTGGGGTATGTAGGCGTGTTGGCGCCGCTGCTGCGAGGACTGCCGGACAATAGTGTAAAGTATAACAAAGCAGTAAATATTATAAGATGGGGTCGAGGCCAGGCGGGTACCGGCCGAGCGTTAGTCAAGTGTTGTGATGGTGAAGAGATTACATGTGACTATGTCATCGTTACCGTTTCGCTCGGATGTCTTAAATGTCAAGCGGACAAACTTTTTGCACCACCTCTTCCTTCGTGCAAGTTGGACGCTATATGTAGTTTGGGTTTTGGACTCAGCAACAAAGTATTTATGGAATATAAAGAACCGTTCTGGGTGTGCCATGAGGGTAATATGAAGTTGGCATGGTCTGCTGAAGAATTACAATGTAGAAACGACTGGACGGATGGAGTCTGTGCAATCGACGAATTACCTGGCAGCAAACATGTTCTGTGTGCTTGGATTTCCGGGCAGGAGGCTGCAGTTATGGAGTCAAAAGCAGACATCGATGTTGTCGAAGGACTCACGAAGCTTCTGCGACGCTTTACCGGAAACCCTTGCCTACCATACCCTCAAATGATGTTACGATCCCGATGGGCTTCGGACCCACATTTCTGTGGGGCGTACTCTTACATGAGCTGTTGTTCCTTGGTAAGCCACCAATGTGAACTTGGTAACCCGGTGCCAGGACCTTGTGACCCCCAACCCCCTATACTATTGTTTGCCGGCGAAGCTACTCTCCCTGGATATTTCTCAACTGTCCATGGTGCAAGACTAAGTGGAATTCGGGAGGCTGAGCGTATTATACTGCTAACAAAAAAATTCAATGGTCCACCACCTTAATACTTTTTATTTAGGATCAATTTTAAATTAATTTACATTTTACTTGCAATTTTTTTTGATACACAATATATTTAGATGTTTTATTCCATGTTTGTAATTTAAAAAGTGTTATAAAGTAACATGATGTAGCATTGTGAAATAAAATACTCATGTTTAAATTATCTTTTATTTTAATATTACATAAATTTAAATAAATAAGTACATAGCTGTCTAAATGAAGCTGTTTCTAAATTAATGTATTGCTTCAGTTACATTACATTCAGTAATGCTACACATCTATTACAGACAAAATTTCAATCCTCTTAGAAAACTGCCGTAATTATCAGAAGATGAAAATATATCTTCAAATTCCAAGTAAATTCTGTTACTAGTGTAAGCAGTATCTCTGCATTGAATTCCATATGAAAATGAAAACAAATTGTCATCTTTGGGCCAATGGAAACATATTTTATACCAGTTATCTTTTTTAATAAAGCATGGTTGTTTGAATTCAATATCAATGTTGGAATCATAATCAACATTGTTGTTATATCTATATTGTGCAATCACACTGTTGTCAGTGGCACATATCAATGAAATTGAGACATTTTCACAGTATTGTTTTGGTGTATTGTTACAAAAATTCAATACTGGTGTCATCCTTGATGGTATATTTAGATTATTAATAAATATTGATTTGTTACTTTTTAACTTACAAAGGATATAGTTATGAGTGAAATCTATGATAGCTGGAGTGGCAGATCTTACTGGACTGCGATGACATAGATACCATTGTAATTTCAATGAACTCCTTGGATTCAGTAAAGTACTAATGGTGTCCATTACATCATTGGTGTATAAAAGATTGCAGTTTAACATTTTCTTGATATACTCAAATTCTTGAGGTAGGAGTAAGTTATTTGGACTTGTGATAATTTCATCCAAACCATTTGCTGATAATGTTAAAAACCTTAATAGTTGAAACAATCCATTTTTAATTAACACATCTCTTCTATTTGTAATATCAGCAGGAATGTTGTTCATTTCGCAGTAATAAGTTGTCCACTCAAAAGTAAATTTGATCAGTTCTTTTTCAGGTATATTCATATTGTCACTTGTAAGTATTTTTTGCAGGCAAAAACTAGTAATGTTTCTCTTGTTTTCTTTGATTAGATATGCAGCATGTTCGCAAAACAACCGAAGTGAAGAAGATAGTAATTGTTTATCTTGCATGTAATCAGGGTAATTTAAAATTGTAATAACATTATCAATGTTTACATTTGTTTGTACATACTTGATGCATACTTCTGACAAGTGGTCTAGTAAATATTTTCTTGATACATATAGCAATTCAAAGGCTTCTTCAATTGATGTTATTTCAACCCTGTCCGTGTATATGTAATTTAATAATTGTTGAAATACTTCAGGCTCAATGTCAGTTATAACAATGTCACTGTCGGTTGAAAGGGGGCCATAAAACATAGCTTCAAATACGGGGCTGCTTATTCCTAGTATTAATTTATGTGCTTTGAATTTCTTATCACATACAGAAAATGTACAGTCACTCCACTCATAAGACACCAAAAGCTTGTTAACGCGGTCATAGAGGCTATTATTTCTTAATTCGCCCATTTTATAACCCATCTGTAACACACGATTCATTTATGTATTACACTTTACAATAATCTTACAAAAAGAACAGTGTCGTCATTAGACGACAACCGAGTAGAATAGCTTGGACATTTAATTAAAACCATTATAACTGTTTTACCTGTTTTGAGTTTGCGTCGGACTATAACCTTGAACTTGATCAAGTCCAATGACCAAAAGTTTCGCATAGGTGATGTTTATCATACACCTGGTATGAAATCGTCAGGCTTATTTACGGATCATATGACAGAAATAATAAAGACGTACTAACCTTCAATGTGATTATCAAGTATCAAGTATATGAACACTTTAGTGCAGTAATATCAATGTAAAATGACGTGAATATTTATTTTTTGTTTGCAAACAATATTTTGCTATATTATGAAAAATTGAATTTTTAATGTTCGAGTACCAACATTAAAAACATAACTGATGCTTAATTAAACTTTTTAGTGTTATTCTTTTAAGAATAATTTTCACTTTATTATTAGCACACTGAAAAAAAACAAACTAAACCACAATTTCAAGAACCATGTTTGCTTCTATCGGTCATCACAGACTCCCAACAGATGTAACTGAATGGACAGTGGTTCAAACTTGTCCAATACAGATAGTTAGTAGCACAAAATTAATAACTGGACTGTCAATCAACTGGCATAGTGTGAACGGTAACTGGCGCCGGTGAGTACGTCAGTCCGATGACTGGTAAAACGTTCTACTTTTTCTGGTCGTCCAGCTATTCCGCCGCAACTGGTGCAGTGTGGGTGATTTATCCCATGCCAGTCCAGTGCAACAACTGAAGAGGAACCACATGTAGCTTATTTCAGTTAATTATTATCCGGACTGCGGATCGACCGCCAATTTTCAGCATGTGCTTTTTAATCTGTTAAAGTTTTTTTTTCTTTGGATTTGTTGCAAATGTCCCAGTGTTGGAAAAGCTACGGCATTCGGGTCATCAAATTCTTTGGCCTACGACGGCAACTCGAACGCCGTAGTAGATACTATTTTTCTATTCTATTCTCAATTCAGTGTTTTTTCTATTATAATTTTATTTTAATAGAAAACACACTGTCCTTGAACGAAAAATAACAAAAGGTCGTTGATTAATAGTACAGATGTACCGAATAACGAAATTCAAATAAATCATTTTCGTTTTAATAAAAAAGCACAATTTCAACTCAGTTTTTTGATATTAAAAACGTTAAAGTAGCGACATTTAGCTAATGTTAAAAAGTTTTCCATTTTTTCCGGCGGCAAAGACCAACCAGTGATCTTTTCCCATACAACCATGGCTTTTTTACACGATGTGCACGGACGGGTAAAAATTTTCATTGGCAACACTGTATGGCAACAAATGTGTATTCTGTGCTGGAGCCCGCGCGCCGGTACCCAAGTGCTAAAATGTGTGTTGTGTTGGAGATGTTCTCAAATGTGAACCAATTATGTGAATTTTGTTTAGTTATTTAAAAACCTTATATAACCTTAGTTAATTATGCCTTCCACTTTAGACGAGAGTGGTTGCCCAATATATAGTATTTTGATGGACAATAATAGTTCTAATGTTGCGGTGAGTTTTTAGGTTATTTATATATCCAATCCTTATTTTGTAATATCATGTTCTTGTCTAGTTTTAAACCAAAAGCGTAAAAATCTGCATATATCAGTCTTGGCTCAGTTCTTATATTTATAATTGTTATTTTACACGATCAAAACTAAAACAATCGATTTCGAATACATAAATTGTCAAGGTAAACCTAGCATAAAGTAGCAAACTTATTAAGTTCTGTTTTACGTAAAGGCGACCTTTTTAAAATATCAGCGCGTTATTTGTATAAATCATTTACTACTAACATAAAAGACACAGTTACAAATTGTCTCGATAAATAGTTTTTGTATTTTGTAAACAGGTACAATGTGACGCTAAGAAGCAATGTGAAGATATAAGTTACGTTAAACAAAAAATGCTGGAAGCCGAGTAAGTGTTAATTTATTTAGTCTTAATATCTTAGTATAATGCTAGGGCTAGATTTTGAAATGGTTTATGGCAGTTTTACATTGATATTTAATATTTACCTGCCAGTAATCAATTAAAGATTTATCTGGTCATATGTTTCGATCGATTATTACAGAGGCTAAATAGTTGTCTCAACACATTGGGCACACTGCATAATGTACAGTCAGCTTCTGAACATAAGTAGATGACTGATAAGTGTGTACATATTTTTGAAACCGATACCCTATACATGTTACTGTGGTATTTTAAATGTATACATATTTATTGAGAGGACTGCACTATAATTATTATTTAAATGTTACCAAATATGTTATTTACAATTTTGCATATTTATTACACTTAAATATTCAATTATGCGTGTTGCTGGTATTATGAGAATATTTCAGATTTAATAGTGTAGTGGGAGTTTGGTTATGCTTAATTTTTGACAAGCTTTAACTTATTTCAGTTTAATAATAAGACATTACAAAAACAAAAATCTGTTTGATAAATCGGGAAGATTTGACAGATTGAGTAACTCTCCAGATGGATATAATGAAGCTTGTAATTTCAATGTGGCTGCATCAAATGAATTGGTAATTATAACAAATTTACTTTATTGGCTTGCTAGAAATAGCAAATCATAGGAATTTATATTAAATTATATACATGAAAATACTGAGCAATAGTCTATGTGAATTAAAATAATCAATATTCTGAAAACTTTTCAGTTTAAAATTCAATTTTGTTATATAGCTTAAGGCTTTATAAGTAACATTTGTATAAAAATGTTAAATGAAATTTAGTTATCTACTATGATTATTTTTTTATGCAGAATAATAACTATGATGTCATACCACAGGCGGTGGGTCTAGCTAAAGAAAAAGCTCTACTGGAAGCAAGGCTGGCTTCAACTGATATCAAAATTCAGGAAATGAAATCGCATATTAATCAACTTCAGGTGAGTTAAAATTTTTCATCTATTAACTATTTTAAGGGTTTGGACACACAATCATTTGCTTTATGGATTTGAATCCTCCCATTAAATGTAGACCATATTTAAGCCTAGAATTTGGTTGGAATGGTACATATTAGTAAACTAGCTGTTCCCGTGCAGCTTCATCTGCGTGGAATGATGAAAATTTTATTTTATTGTTTACAATATATAGCCTAAAGCATGACGTAAGTGCAGGGCTTTTTATTAAAGAAAGGATTATTAAAAAAAATGCTATAATCTTAGGCAACAAAGAAGTGTGTGTTTATGCTTTATTATAATAGAATAGATAGAGATCAACAAAATCTGCATGCATGTTATATTGAAAAAAAAAAAAATTGTTAAGTAATTGGTGAAGAACATATTGATAGTGTTTATTTTTATTTTGTACCTGCCTATCGCTTTTTTTCTTAGCATTATCTAAATCTGTAGTGTGAACTCCATTTTAATAAGATATGGTAATGCATTTTTTAACAGATGCTGGTTACTGAATATGAAACACAGATAGAAGCGTTGAAAATAGAAAATCAATTACAAAAATGTAATACTAAAGAATACAACAATATGATAAATGATATATGTCTGTTCAGAGACATTGTGCTCGGAAAAAGTAAGTAATCAATATAATATGACCTGATTAATTGAATAATATTCACATGGTTTTAGGTCTAAAGTGTTGTATCTTAAATTTTTAAACACCAGTTTAATTAATATCAAATGTGTTTAACCAATAAAGTGAAATGTTTTTTCTTTTCAGAAAAGATGCAAACCAGACATAAAAAGGTTTTAAAGAAGTATGATAAATATAAATCGACTGCAAGTGATATCCCTGATTGTAGTATCGATGAAATGGAAATATGTAATCAATCAACAGTTAAGGCAGCAAAGAAATCTAAAAACAAATCCAATCAGGTAAAATCAATTAATAATTTTTTTTTTCTGTGCACAAAAATATTTGCTAGGTTTATTATAAACTTAGCTAATATGTTAATTATATTATTATTGCTATAAATTATTAATTTTAGTATTTATTGTTTTAGGTGAAAGACTTATTGAGTGAAACAAGTACTGTCAATAAAAATGTAGGGAAAGGTAAGTGTAGAAACAATTAAGTAATTTTTTAGCATTTTTGTATATGCTCTGTATTATGGCACGCAAGGATATATTTTTTTTGGGGTATGCATCAATCTGCTTCTTATACATGCACAAAGGAATTAATTTTATGGTTTTATGTAAAATACAAAGAATTTTTATATACAGTAGAACCTCTAACTTAAACTTCGGTAACTTAAAAACCTCTATAACTTCACAAAAAATAATGTTCCTTTCCCATCAGAGCCCAAAACCTCTACAACATAGACCCTTGATAATTTTAAACCTGATTACATTTTTTCAAAATGTGAAGATAAATGTTATGATTTTTTATCATTATATTTTTTTATTAAGTATACACAAGTGATGTGATGTTATAATTTTTCAGGTAGTAAGTTATTGCTACAAGTTAATGGACGACAAGATTCCGATGCTGTTAACGAAATCATCAGTGAAGATTCCGGTTTCAGTTCGTTTGGTAACAGCCCTGATTATTATCCAACCAATAGTCCTTGTAGTACAACAAACTACACTCAAAAAGAGAAGAAAAACCACGTCGATATTGCTACCAGTCCTATTACTGTACAGGAAGAACTTAAGATTATCACACATCCTACAGATATAGAAAATCAAGAAAAGTGCAGCTCTTGCAGTCAATTGAGTAACAACCTAAAAACGGAAAAGACCTATACAGATAGAGCTACAAGTCCTATCACAATAGAGGAATATATCATTGAAATTATTAATTCAGGTAAAGAATGCACTGAAAGCGATCAATACATCCAAGATGACATACCATGTGAAAGGCAAAACAAGAACGTTATACATGATGAATCTAACAAAACCCGTACAGTACAAGATAATGAAATAGAAATCAATGATGAAATTCAAGACTGTGTAAAAACAAAAGAATTAGCCAGTTCTGAAATGGAAAGTTATTTTAATGATTTAGAAGAACTTGTTAGCAACCATCCAATGAATGATACGCCACAGGAAGAAAATAACGAAGAAACAAATGAAATTAATGCAGTAGAGGAAGATCTGGAAGATGTGATAAATGATGACAAAGATAACATATCTTTATGTGATTCTGATATTATAGAGGGATGTCTGTTTGGTCAAGATAGTTTCGAAACCAATATTCCATTAGAAAATGAAATAAATCAGAAACAATTATCTGATGTAGCGACTAGTCCTATTACAGTTCAAGGGAAATTGGTAGAAATAGCAACTAGTCCTATTACAGTACAAGGAAAATTGGTAGAAATAGCAACTAGTCCTATTACAGTACAAGGAAAATTGGTAGAAATAGCAACAAGTCCTATTACAGTACAAGGAAAATTGGTAGAAATAGCAACAAGTCCTGTGAAATTTGTAGACTGCCTACCTAACAATTTGAATGCTGAATCCATTAAGAAACCTACCTTAAACTGCACAAGGGTTGTTGAAAAAAGTAAAACAATTGGAATAAATACCGTGGCAATTAAAAAGCGCGAAAAAGCAACTAGTCCTATTAAATTTGATGTTAATTCTGGAGATCAGAAAACTACATTGAGCTCAAGCGAGCAAGAATGCCTGGAACTCAATAATAGTAAAAAACTTAACAGTTGTCATGACTGTGAGGTAGAAACCATTTTAAGAACTATGCGATTAGATTGTGAACTAATAACACCCATTCCTAAATCGCCAGCCAAACCGCAAAAAGCAGAAACAATATTAAGATCGTCTCCATGTCGCAGATGTCAAGATCTGGCCAAACTTAGGAAGGAAAATGAAAACTTACAGTCAACTTTTCAGGATATCGCCAAATCAATGTCTAACATGACATGGTTAATAAAAAGTAGAGGAGTATTAATAAATAACAATTTACATAGTAATGACAAAGAATCTTCTGAATCTGTAATGGACGAGTTTACACCGCCGATCACTTCTAATGTAAATATTGAAGAGTTCAATAATGAAACTGAAAGTATACCAGATTATTTACCAAGTTTAGAAGCTGTTAAAAACAAACCGACAGTGGTTACAGATGTTGTAAGAAGGTTGGAATTTGGTGAAAAAGAGAATCATCTCAAGAAAAAACCGGTTATAAGTAAAGAAAATCAACCAACGTCACATTCAAACATTTTGAAATTAACTCAAATTTGTGACAACCAAAACTCTCTAAACAGTAACCAAATTCTGAACGAGTCCAATGAAACCTTATCAGAAGAAAGTACTAGCGAGGAGATTAACCAAGATGAACAGATTTCAAATACAGATTTGGTAACATCAGGTGAAATTGAGAAAGAAGTCAATAAAAATAAAGACCAAACTTGCAATATGCATGTCGATGAAGAAAATGTATCTAGATCGCCCACCAAAAAAGTCAAAAAAGCTTTAAAATTGACAAAGCTAGAAAAATGGAAGAGAACATTGATTCCAAAATCCAAGATCAGAAGAGAATTAACACCACCAATCAGAAAAAATAAGAAAAAACAGATTTTAAAGAAGAAAGTTGTATTAGATGAATCTCCTAAACCCAAAATAGCTGTAGACAAAAATGCAGCTTATAAAAAAGCAGTAGAAATAATGGCTGAATTAAGAGATAAAGAAAATAATAAAACCATTGTAAAACCAACTGTAGCTAAAGCTTTAGAAAAGAGTGATAAATGCCAACAAGAAGTACTTATTGTGTTATCAAAATGTGATGATTTTATTCAAAAACAAACTAGTGAGGCTGATACACATAATCACGATAAAACAATTAATAAAGCTATTGCAACAAACAATACTGGTGTGCAGAAAGACACACAAGTAGACAGTAGTCCTGCACCTGTTACCACAAGGAGTCGGAGTAAAAGATTGTCTTCAGAACTTTTTAATAGCCCCAAATCGGATAAGAAACGAGATGAACATGTTCTATCCTTATTAGAAAAAGAGAATTCTACAAGTCCTATACGCAGAGGACGGAAACGTTGTGCGTCCGACAAATCTGAGAGCACACCTAAAAAGATATTACGAGGTCCTGGCATCCATGAATCTAGCATAAATAAGACTGATAATTCTAATGCAAATGTAATGAAATCACCGCGCAAAGATTCAGAAAATATTGCAGTTAGAAGAACGTCAAATCGCTTATCTTGTTCACAAAATCCGAAAGACACTGATTGTAGTACAAAAGAAACTGTTGATAACAATGACATGGATGTCTCCAGTCAAACATTACCTCAAAATAAGCAACAAACTTGCGTATTTGAACCGACGGTGAATTTTAACGACCGCATTTTCTGTAGAATGTTAGAAAAATATGCAATAACTTCAGTCAAATACCAAGCCAAAAAACTACCAGGTATGTTTTACAAATTTAATTGCTATTTTAATCAATAAAAAAGGTGACATGATCATTGTTTGTTAAAAAAAGTCTTAAAATATAATTATTTTTCAGATGCTAAAATTAATATGATCGCATCGAAACTGGAAGATGGTATTGCAACTATTATAGACCAACCTCGAAATGTTAAGAATGCAATGAACGATTTAGTTGATGAAATACAAAACTGGGAAAAGAAGGTGTTTGTGACTGGACTTATGATGTATTTGAAGAAGCCGGCACGTAAAGACGAGCTGTTTAACACAGTGTTAGCGCCGCCCGCGCCGCCGATGACCAAATCTGAACAAGTACTTCTATACATATTGAAGCAACTAAAAGCCTGTTGGGACCCAAATATTATAGAAACTATAATGAAAAGCATAGAGTACTCTCTATTTCAATTAAATCATACACCAGATTTTGGAACAGTGGAGAGTCTATCGCATTTCTATGCTATTCTCTGCAGGTATTTCTCAGTGAGTAGTCGGCTGCGACTGTTCATGTTGGATGCTATGTACTGCATTCAGTTCAAATCGGTGGCGCTTATAAAACAATGTTTAAATGTTTGGATGCATATTCTGCCTTTGTCTCATATGGGAATGGGTAATTATTCTTTTATTAATTGTGTTAAATCAACAATAATTTAAATTTTATCTTATTTACTAAATTTAATACTTCTTTTTATTTTTTTAGCTAAATGCCCGTTAGTGATGTGCTTAATATATTTGCTGCACTTTTTTAAATGCGATGATAAATATAACCGAGTCCAAGAAATAAGAGATATATTGAAACGTAAATATTTCTATGAAGTAACAGACTGGAGTGAACCTAAGATGCTGGAAATGTTTAAGAATGCAATATTAGAAATACGTGGTATGTATGATATTGAACACTAAAGTATTATTCAGTCCGAGCATTGGCCTGTGATTTTTGATAGAGTAGGATAAATAATAAAAAAAAAAATTATGTCACTTGCAAACATTAGGTATACTTCAATAAAATTCAAATTACCCCAGAACAAACAAGGACTTCCATACAGACAAACACTTTAACTATTGGGTTTTCGTATAAGCAACTTGAACGTTTGGTTTTTACAGAAGTTCCGGTTGAAAAGAAAATGCTTCGATTGGCGTTTATAATTCTTGCTAAACGCAAAGGTCCTAATTGGACACAAAAGAACATAATCAAAGATATGATCCAGCCTCTCATAGAGAAGGCAGGTGTGCGGGACGCAGTGAGGGAGTTCAGTGTATCAATACTGGGGCCATTGATGAAGCCATATCCTAACGACATGAAAGTGCATTGTGAGGTTGTTGTCAATCAGCTCCTGGAAATGGTAAATAATGGTAAGATACTATTCTCAAATATATGTTATGTCATTTCAAGTATTTGTTGCCAGAATCAGTATGATTTGTGCATCGTAATTAAATAGATTGATCGAGACTTCGTCTGCGCGGACTAAAAAAATACATTTTAGTAATACACATAGCTTGTATTACTAAAATTTATTTTTGAATTTGGATTGTTACCTATAGATTTAGTAGTCTATGATTTTGTTACATTTACAAATCGAAATCCTTCTGCTTCAATATAGCAGAGTTTCTTATTTAGTAATGTTTTTATTGTTGTCCAAATTTTGTATTTCATATTTGTTAAATAAAAGCATAATCTAGGGTTTATTTCTGTGGTGGTTGTGGCTGTTTCTAAATTGATTCTAAACTAGCATATGCTTGCAAAAAAGAAGTTTAAGTTGATGAAATTTGGCACAGAACAAAGTGTGGAAGAAAACATTACTCAGTACGATGTTTTTATTTATTTAATATGCAATAACTGTTGTGTTTTTAGCTAAACCCAGTATGGAGACGGCGATATTCACGAGTTTGCTGTACATGCGGCGACACAACCCCGAGCGCGTCAATCAGGCGCTGGTGAAGTGGCGCCCCCGCGTCTTGCCCCCTGACCTGGAGCGCCTGCTCAAAGATTACATCAGGGAGAAACCCGCTAGGGTATGGAAAATTATACTCTCCAAAATTCAAATTACATAAATATTGTGTAATTTTGTGTGTGTGGGAATTTTAGACCCTTATAAAGATTAGATGGGAATTGCATTTGACGGAGGGAACAGAAAAAATTTAAACATCTCATTTCTATTACATCTATCAATTTAATGTAAGCATCTAATATTGTGAATGTCTATGGACTAGGCTAATTCGCTCTTTCGGCGAATTCAGGTGGCCACTAGCTCATTTACCACCTTATGATATAAAACTGTAAAAACGTGTATATTTGAAATAATTCACTAATTAAGTCAAGAAGATAAGTTAAAAAATGTTTTAGTTGTCAGATCTGTATTGCAATTTTTACCAGTGATTTTTTTTATTATGACAGTATTAGGAATTATGTAATATCTAATGTCAGTATATAAATTGTTTTACCCTACACTTGTTCTTTAAAAGTTATACTTTAATTAATATGCTACAGTTAATTAAAAAAGCATTAAGCTTGATTTAAATCAGTTTTATTTGGCATCATGATTTAATTCTAATTTGATTTTACAAAAATAAAATACGGTAATTTTCGTGTGTTTGGTTTATCACATATGAAAACTATTAATCTTGCTGCAGTTCTATTATCTTTTATTCTCTTAACTCCTTGTGAAAATTGTTAACACCAAAGAGTACTTTGGTATGGACTCTACTAAGAGTGATTTATTTTAAGTCGTACTAAATTGTAAATGTGTAATTAAAAATATTTGTTTTTTGTATTAAGCGATACTTGGTATTTTGGTTTGTATAATTTTGCATAGCAACAGCGGTTGCCTAGCAACGCGTTTAGCAGGTGAATTCATGTAAAACATGCTACTAATTTTTGTCTATCTGAATGTTCTACTAAAATGTAATATAGAAACATTTTAGCTGGACTAATTATTGTTCTATTTCAAAGAATGAATTATGGACAATACTTATTATGTTTTTAATATTTGCAGATGTGATAGGGGTTAGGACAAATCTGTAGTTTTCTAGCTCCTAGTGTTTCATAAAAATGCAGACTTCTGATTGCTCTGTTTTACATATAACTTCATTTTTATCAATACTGACTTACAAAATATATTTGCTTAACCAATTATTATTTCCATTCCTAAATTCTAGTCACTCATTCTTAAGGCTTTTTGTTTTGTTTTCATTTTAGTACATGCTTCTGCATTTTTTTATCTTATCTGTTAACCCATTCTGCTGAAGCCTTTCATACATTTTGAACCTTTATTTTTAATCAAAGGACTTTGTCGCAGGACAGTATTGAAGTCGGCATCATGTAGAAATTAAAGCTAGGACTGAATGCAATACACAATGTAACTGCAATAATTTTTACCCCCTTTTTTAGTGTTAAAATGTGTATAAAAATTAGAGTTTTAATAATATTCGTAAAATCACTCATTAAGGTACTGTACTGGTTACTCTAAACAATGTAGTCATAAGAAACGATTGAAAGATTTGTAAGAACATTATGGTGTCAAAGTTGTATGTGTTTTTAGGTATGGATGTCTATGTTTTTACTGAGGCCTATCATGAATCTGCGAGAAATATGGTCGTTATGAAAACTTTCTCGCAAGTTTTCGTGATAGGTTCTCTTCGTGATATATTGATAGTTTTAAATTAATGCAAATAACGTATTCAAATAGCTTAATCACGTAAGCCAGTGTCTATTTGTTAATTATTCATGGATTACCTCTTTCTGAGACAATTTCGGTGTTTGCAGAACTGTTAGGTTAAGTTAAAAGTAAAAAACTGCTGCTTTCAAATGAGTTTCAGTTTTGCGCACTATACTCTCTGTGATTTATGTAGGAATTAAATTAAAAAATAAACATTTGAGTTTTATAATCTATTTTTTTATTTTCATGTCATCCCGTTTCTAAAATAAGTCTACTTTTAGTCACAGTTACAAACAAGAAAATAAGCATAAAACACTATAATAATTATCCTTTGAAATTTAAGTTATGTCTATAACTAGCTTTCGACCGCGACTTCGTATGCGTGGTATTAACAAAAAAGTATGCAGCCTATGTAAACACATAGGCATAGGCATGCAGACTATCCTCTACATCTTTGCCAAGATCTGTTCAGTAGTTTAGGCTACAAACTCTAACAAACATCCATCCATCTAAACTTTTGCATTTACAATATTACTATGATATAAAGATTAATAATTAAATAAGTTAATAATTCGTTTTATATTTCTTAATTTCTACCATTATAACATGGATATTGACCAGCTGGGTTCGTGCATTGGGTGTCAACAATTTAACAAACTTATGGTAATACTGTACAAAGTTGGTGAGAGCCATTTGCAATAATCCTGATCCTGTCACAAGATTAGGAAATGACACAAGAACTTCTCTATGAATTTCTTCGAGACTCTGTTTCCAGCTGGATGTGAATGATGCTACTAAAGATATTGATTTCTTTTCTAAGTTCGCTAACTCATTAGTTTTGCCACTTTCATGTAACTGTTCACCTTCCTTTACAAACTGCATTAAACCACCGAAATGTGGACTTAGTATTTCTTCAACATATTCTGTACTCCTTGCTTGTAATTGTTCTCTGAAACTTTCAGCCTCTTTAGTATTATCTCTGGTCCTTTCCATTAATATACTAAGCACCATATCATAATTATTTATCAAGAATATAAGCTGTTGTATCCGCTGAGGGAATTCCGCTGCCATTTTTAATAAGAAACAATGTACTTCATCTTGTAACATTAATAGGAGATTATTTAATTCTTCAGATGGGAATTGTTCGCTCAAGCTTAACATTGCAGCGGAAAATTCGGCATATCTTCGAGTAATCTAAAAAATTAATAATTTTTAATTTTACCCTCTGAACTGTTGCGATTTTACTACCAATAGACTTTTAGCCGGATATTGTAGATTATATAATACATAGTACTTACATAATGAGGACCAAGTTCTTTGTTAGACAACTTAGCTGGATCACATTCCCTTACACTCTGAATATTTAATTTCAAAACATATTCTAATCTGGGATACAACGCACTTAATAGTGAATCCCAATAACTGAAAGATAAAACATTAAATAGATTAAAGTATATAAATATCTATTTTTTAGTAAATCTTTGTATTTACCTGTCTAGTGCCGGCACAGCTCTTTTATGGCACATCCATTTATAACGATTTATCAATTGTATACACAAAAATAGTGCTAAACAATCATAACACTCCAGTACATAGTTTTCTACATTTTTCTGAAAATAATTCAAATTAAAGGCACTTTCATGTTAATACTACAGTTTTTGTGCAGGTTCATCTGCCTGAAATTATAAAAACTTTATTTTATTGTTGACATTTGTCAAATTCTCAATTGCAAATGTCAAAATTACCATTACCATAATAACCTTGCTTCCTTAATGTTGGCAGCTTGCAGTTTATGGCCCCTTTCCCATGAAATCTTATTACGTAAATTGTATCATATGTGTAGGGCTTTTTATTGAGAAGAGAGTTATTCGAATATATATGCTGTGATTGCTGACATCTTACACCACGAAGTAGTGTGTGTTTACACTTTAGTATATTAGTATAGATTCTTTGAGTAAAAATAATGAATACGAACCACAAGCAATGATAACGTTTTTCCCAATATTCTGTCAAAAAGCTCTTGAGCGTGACTGGCTTTTACGTGAAAAAACTCAGTAGTAAATAAATATTCCCTGCAGCTGTTGTCTACTAGAGCATATTGCAAGCTTCGGAACAATGCTTCATAGGAGTACTGGAACAAAATAAAAGATTATACTATTTGATCCCTTTAGACACTTGAAGTAACACTTGGGTAAAAGGTATCAGGTTTCATACATTTTAATGTAATTTCTAAAACTTACTTTTGTTTTCTGCTGTGCATGTGGAACAATGATTGGAGCCTCAAGTTGTTGTGCAAGAACATCACCTCGGTTGCCAATCGTAAATATAGTACTTTTATTTTTCAGATTTGTCTTTTGGAAAAATCCACCTTTAGAACCATCTTCAATTCCCATGAGATCATCTTTTGTTGGCACTTCTTCATATTTAAGTTTATCTAATCTTGATGCATAAGATTTGAAATAGGAATAATAAACTTTGCTCAAAGTGTCAATATATTCATTACATATTTCCTGAGCAACATTGCGTTCATTAGTCAAAACAAATTCGAAGAAAAACTTGTATTTCAACATTGCATTTTGAGGTATTTGATAGTTGGCCATTGGTTTACGAAATTTATATATTTGTTCTAAGATGTATGTTCTTATTTTTGCAACGGATTTTATTTTGAGCTTCTCTAAAACATCCTTTACATCATGACAGGCTTTAGTTTCTTTGAAATCTTGTTCTTTAACAAAGTTTATCTTTTGATTCAATATTGCCAATTGGACCATAAATTCTTTGTCAGTTACGGGAACATTATTAATTCCACTGAAAAATGCCAAAAAGTAAATAAACAGGATAACAGTTTACTTCAGAAATAAGTGACTATCTAAACAATAAGATCTTACAATATTAGTGTTTCTGATACAGCCATATCCTCTATAAAAGAAGAGAGGGGTCCTTTAAGAGCTTGTCTGTTTGAAAGTTGTACTGACATGTTGACAGATCGTTTTTGTAAACTGATAATCTCATTGCTTATACTTCCTAAATCATTCTGAAAGAAAATCTTAATTAAAGCATAACAGTATCTTTTATTAAAATATTCTTTCCGTTTTGAAATCAGAGAAACTTCGGAACCATTATTTTTTTTCTAGTCACATTGAAATTGGAAGGAATATTTTTTTGTTACTGATATTTGTGTGCAAATCAAAGCAATAAGAAATTTTAATCAAATATTTATTACAACTATGATATTGTTATTAAAAAAATTGTGAATACTGACTTGAAACACCAATAGCATACTTTCCATGCGTGCTAATATACCGTCACATTCTTCTATTTGGCCATGCAAAGAGGCGATATTTTCGCTCTCTCTTAAATAATCTGCAACTGAATTTTTCTCAGCTTCTTTGATTCCTTTATCAATTTGTAATGCATATTCTCGCAAGTCTGTGCCATTCTTTAAAACTTCTTGAATTTCATAGTCTTCGAGATTCTTGTCCAAAGTGTCTTTTGTAATTATTGATTCAGTCATTGTTACACTTTACTAAACTCTTTATACAGGACAAAGTATAATTTTAGTGTTATAGTACATGGGATATCACAGGGAGAAAGCAAAGTCAAGAAAAATTATGAAAATAAGAAAATAGAAACAATATAAACATTTAAGTGCAGCTGTCAAGTAATCTATCAACGCTGTCATCTGTCAACTGCTGTCATGTCAAAGGCGACAAAAAACAAAGAGTAAAATAAGAGCAGAGATGCCAAGTACAGATGTTATAAAAATTAATTAGTTAAAAAAAGTTGTCTTTCCAAGGAAGGTCGGCTTTCTTAAATATACCTTAAGTATTAATATAACAGATTATTCTGTAATACCCTTTTTTGGTATTAGTACAGCTATCCTATAGCATTCATTATGTCATTATTTTATTTTAAGGAAACTCAGCTTCGTATTCCACAAATAATTGAATTGGTCTAAGTGCTATAGAGAGGTAAAATACACAGCTTATTACTTGTCAGCTGGAATGAGTAACCCGGAAATTCCAAAGTTTATCTCCGTGTTTCCTTAGGCCTCTGATTGTTATATTTGTCTTCACGTAGTAGAAACATCGAGGGTCAAGGTGTTAGATGGAATATAAATGAAAGAAAGTATATATTTCAATTGACGCATGTGCGTCAGTATTATTGGGGCGAAATATTTACAAAGAAAAAATTGTATAACATGTAACAAAAGCACATCAAACTGTTGTTGATATAAAAGAAATGCAGTAAAAGTCCTAACATTTATGAAACTTAAAGAATACGTTAAGTTTCTAAAGGATCTATGTTGAATTGTTTATATTATAGTAATAGATTGTTCTCTTCTACTCAGCGCAATCTACGTTTTTAAGGGTGAAGTGGGTAGGACGTGAATGTTAAATATTGTATTAATAACGTGATTTTTTTAATAATACAATGTTGGAATGTTTTCATAGAAATCTAGGGAAAGACGAATAAGTTTAACAAATAGGTAGCACTTGCATTATCTGCTTCTTGGTTCCGGTATTGGCGGTACAATTAAAACTTTTAACTATTTCTAAAGCACAACCGAGCGTGTCATGTACAATACGTTAACATCAAAGATAAAATCTATCTATTTTTAAGGGCAAGCAAAATACAAAATGAGATTTTGGATTAAAAGATAATGCCTTGTGCTTTTTACACCTACATATCACTTACGCTGCTGTGTATAACAGAACAATAAAAATAGTCATACGTAAAAAAGAATAAGGAAATAATTTGTTAATTACAATTAAAAATTACTTTAAATTAACTAATTCATTTAAAGGAGATTAGGCGTCGAGTAAAAAGTTCAGCACAGTTAAATATGTATCAAAATAGATATAAATTTCGTAAAAAAATTATCACATATTATTTCTATACAATAACAATTTTTACATTCTAGGTTCTAGGGTATAATTTTAAACAGTTACCTTACATTTTTAATAAAGGTAACAAATATGCATTTTGTATGCAGTGCGATTAAACATCATAAATAATTTAAGCAATTTATTTACATTTAGCATTTGTACTGAGTGCACCGATAGTAGATCCTATAATTAAGGGTTTGTAATTGGAATAATCAGATTATTATGGTTGTTTAATACAAAAACCTTTCACCATAGTTGGGTTCATTAAACTATTGAAAAAAAATCACAATTGATTAGTCCCAATTATTGGACTCATTGGGGCATTTTTATTTTGTCACTATCTACATAGGTAAAGTGATATGTATTTTTGATATCTACTTAAATAATTAGAAACAAGTAGGACAATTTCACATTACGATATACATTAGTTATCTAACTAGGAAGGTACTCTTTAAGACACGCAGTTTAAAGAAGTATCGTGATGTAAACTTGTTGCTGAACTTTTTCTCTAACCTCGTACAAACACTATAACAAATTACGTTAACATTCTATCATCAAAAATTATTAATATAAAATAAATTAAACCTAAAAGGTAACTTCCAACAACTCCTGTTCCGAGGCAGCACCACGCAGCCCGCCGGCCGCCGGACGCCTGACGCCTGACGCGTTGTGTGCCTCTCCTTGTCGCTCATAACATTAATATAACTATAAAATTCGGTGTTTACAAGCCAAATTTTACATTAGTAAGTCTTGTGACTAGATTTTTCTTATTTAAATAATACACAAGTAAATAACATAGGAATATTTGTACGACGAGATGCCATCGGATCACGAACGGTAACTCAAATGCAACTATACTTTTAATTAGATTAAGTTATAAATATGTAAGATAAAACTGATCCACACATAAATGTACATTTACAATAAATTAAGCTTATGTAATAAATATCGAAATCTCTCGAAAAACTTATATGTTAAGGTTTTTTTTGTCAAATAAAATTCTTTAAATCGAGTGTGAACCGATTCCATCGGATATCCAGTCCAAAGTCCAACTATTCTAAAAATATATTAAATCTAAGTAAACACTTATAAAAATAACAGAGTCGGCTCTAAGGATAGAAGGAGTCGTGTTACGAAGGCGGGGAATGGTCCTCGGGGATCGTGCAAGGCGATGCGAAGGGTCGGGGCGCCTAGAAGGGCAGACTGGCGCGGAACATGTTCTCTATGAGCGGCGGCGGTGGCACCAGGTCCTCCAACTTCAGGTAGAAGATTCGCTGCAGACCCTGCACTGACAGTGAGCGAAGCTCCGGTAGCGCCCCCAGCACGCGGCTGAAGTGCGGCGCGCCCGCCCCGCCGCCCGCTGCGCCCGCGCAGCCCGGCATGTGCGCGCGCAGGCACCCGATGATCTTCATCTGCAACTGCTCCACGCGATGAGGCTCCTTCAGACCATGCCTCTCTGTAACAATGAGAATGCAGCTTTAATAATTTAATAAAGAAACATATTATGAAGGTATAATATATGTAATCAAAATAGCGAAAAATCGTAGGTGCTCGAGCTCCTCTTTGATCAAATTCAGAGATTTTATAACATTACAATGAGTTACCGAGTGATTTATTCAAGATTAGCTTTTGCCTACAACTCCGTCTGCGTGGAATTAAAAAAAGGACAAAAGTGGTTAGCCTATGTATTCTTCCAGACTATTCTCTACATCTATGCCAAATATCATCCAGATTCGTTCAGGTGTTTAGGCTACAAACTCTCACAAACATCCATCCATCCATCAAAGCTTTCGCATTTCTAGTATTAGTATGATTACTTTCTACTACTGCTTACTATCAAAATGTTTTAAGGTATATAATATGTTTCCATACATACCTGTTATCAAAGTCAATGCGCAGAGACAGGCGAAGGTGGAGATGTCGATGTCCATGGAGTGCAGCGTATTGCTGAAATCAAGCACGGCGTGCAGCCAGTCGCCAAACGCGCGCTGGCACTGGCGCTTGTCCAACACAAGGCCGTTGCAGAAGGTGAGCTTGGTGTCGTCGGGCCGTGTGCGGTACGCCAGTCGCAGCACGAACAGCTCCAGCCGCGCCGATGCGAACAGTTGTTCGCGGTCCTCTATGCACAGCTCCCCGTACCCAGGCACTTTCTCCGCGAACACTTTTATCATATCGATCGACGTCGTCAGCAGCGAGTAAAACTGCTGAATTACATCTAAGTCCGACAAAGGGGGCTCCATAGGATTCGGCTCTCTGTACTGGGAGTAATCGAGGTTAGCAAAATCTGGCGAGGTATCCACGTGAGCTCTCACAAGAGCAGTGATCAAGGAGATCGGCGGGCTCGGCGGTGATTCTTGAGGGCATTTAGGTTTAGAGGGTAATCGCCCACGTCTACCTTTTAATGAGTCGGTTCGAACTACTTCCTTTACCATGCCGACAGCGAGACATTTCTGGAAACGGCAAAATTGGCATCTATTTCGTCTTCTCTTGTCTACTGGGCATGATTTTTCGGCTAAGCACACGTATTTCGAACCCTTCTGCACGGTCCTCTTGAAAAATCCTTTGCAGCCCTCGCAAGTACGAACTCCGTAGTGTTGGCAGGCTGCAGTGTCACCGCAAACGGCGCACAGCTGGCTTGGCGAGGGCGGCGCGGCGCGCGCGGCCACCGCGTCCGGGGCAGCTCCACCGGGCGAACTCGACGCAGAACTAGGCGCAGATGCTTGCATGCACTGAACCCTTCCGTGAACTTTCGGGCTATCGTTGGAACTATTGGATTCCGATCTCTGCACAGGCAACGACGCCCGGCGTTGTCTTGATCCTTGATCAGAAGATATATGCAAATCGATGGAACTAGGAAAGGGAGGCAAGGAATAGGAGTCTTGATTGGTAGCGACCCCTCCCGTGTCAAAGGTTGGACTGCACGGTTGTGCCGGAGCATAGTACGTGGAGGGGACGTAAGGAAGCGCAGGCTGGTGATATTGATACAGGAGCTGCGTAGATGTATGTCCCTGATGGGAATACGCGCTCACGTTGTAGCAATCTTCGTCCATTTTTATTCCGAATTCTGCCATTTCTTGCTTCGGGTATCGAACAGAGTAAGTTTCCTCGAAACTTGGCAAGGCGGGCCCGAGTGTCGGCGATGGGGTCTCGCTCACTGGCGTCGCTCGTTGCGATTTTATTTCAAGGGGAATCGGTGCGTGAAATTCGACGTCCGGAAACGGATCTAAGTTTTCTTCTAATATTTCCGTGGAATCTTCCCGGTACTGCGAGGATAAGAGATCAGTAAAGGACGAACCGTAGTTGCTCTGTAATAGAAAAAAAAACTTTAGAAAATCAATAATGTAGGCGTAGCAGTGTGGTAGGCGGCAAAGTTAGGCAGGGGCGGCGGCGATAAGCCAATGGCGTGTCTACTCCGACTGATCTAATGACTATTTCATAGTGTCATTTGCTATTGTCCACTGTCAATCATGTATAATTTTCTAGTTGTACATTTTCAAATGTAAGCTTAAGGAAAACTAATGTTCTATTTGTATTTATTTAGAGGTGATACGAGTAAACTTACGTGTGTTTGCAGCAGTAGCATGCTGGAGGAGTTTGGCGAGAAGGCGCTTGGCGAGCGCGGCTCGATGGCGCTCGGCCCTGCAACAACAATATTTCAAAATTTACCAAAACTTGTTTGCAAATCAAAATCTAATTTTGCTCGTATAAAATCTTTTACATATTATTATTGGAACATAACCATCAGTTGGGAGACTTTGGAGACTTCACAATTCTAAAATAGCCAAATAGTTAGGAAGTTCGAAACGTGAATGCGTGGAATTGCGGCCGGCGGGTGGCGGCGGGTTGCGGCGGGCATCGGCGTCGCACTTTGAACTATCACGCTATACGATCCATGCATTATTTATATTTACCCTCGGCGAACATACTTTGATTCCTCCTTCACCACGGACACGCGTAATTGACTAATCGATATACTCTCGCGTTTGTTCGTTGTAACACTAGCCCCGTGTCGTACAGAATGATGGTGAAACAGAAAGGTCTCCTGTTTTATACTGCAGTTCTGCCGCCGAATATTGCCCGTTTGAATACAACGTGTCACGGTGCTTGATTCGCCACGCCCCGAAAATTGAATCCTATGTATACAAGTTGTCTATGTTTAGTAAAGAAACACTACAAAAGAACGGCCCTAATTTTTGCATTTGAAATCATACCACGTTGATTTTAAGTTCCATAATGATTCATCGACGATGTTAGAAAATTTTTGGGGCGAAAAGGCGATAACTCCCTTGGGAGGTTATGAAATCAGTGGCATTTGCAATTTCTATTATGATGAGAACCATTAATTTCTGTCTTATTAGACTATAAACAAAACGATACTGTATTTGATATTATTACTTGACAAGTAATATTTGAAACTATAAAAGGCAGTAATAATTAATAAATTCATCATATAAGAGAAAAAAAAGTAAAAACAGTATATAATTTTTTAATCATTAGATAGTAGATGTAAGATCAACATTAAACCGAATTTAAAATCAACATAAGTTATCGAGAAACTTTATATTTAAGCATCCGGGTACTTTAGAAATAATTTTCAGGCTAGCTTTTAATTTAATATCAAAATAGTTTTTTATATTCTGTCACTCCACAAAATTGTTTAAACTATTAAGTATTTTTATGGAATTATTCACTTTTATTTAATTTAGAACAATACGAATTAGCTCAAGATGTCTGTGATGCTCCTTCCAATTCTAAAACTTGATCACTGTGTATTTATTTAGACATAAAATTGTAACGAGACAAATTCTGCTGTTTGTGAACCCGGGCATTTACTAGAAAAATATGATTACAAATTCTGTAATCGTCTTCCTGTTTGAGTAAACATTTCTTTTCATATGCTTAGATTTTCCGTTGAAAACGTTGAAGTATGTGCGATTGTCCTCTGTCGTTTGATTTGTTCTAATACACTTTATTGTTTCAATTACTTTGAAGTACGGTATAATAGAACAATTTTAACACATTCCGATTTTTTGTGATATGTTTTATGAAAGTGATTTTTCGTTTACTAATTTAATTAATTATTTTTAAAAGTTCCTTTTGTCGTCCGCCCTAAGTGCTACGACAAGCTACGCCAACACTTCTAACTTGTATACTTTTTACTTTATGCATTCATAATTACATCGTTAAAATAATATAGTTTGTTTATATAATTATGTGTTGCAAGAATTAACGAAAAGAGCAATTAAATAAATGTTAGAAAAGTTAGCGGACAACAGAAAGAAAACGATTCAGACGGCGTTTGCCAGAGTTGTAATGCATTTCTCGATTTTAAAACGCTACTTATTTTAGTAATTAGTAAAGAACTCACAGGTCCAATTTGTTTCTTTACTCTAAATAATTAAAACATAAAATCTCGAACGGAAAAAAGAAAATTAATGTTTAATGTTTGCTTACCAAACACACATAGCTTATGTAAAATTAAGTTGGTTTGTCAACAATATTTAAGATTTAGAAAATACTCAAAAGTTGATAAGTATTTACGGTTTTGGACTTATTGATAATTCGGGACAAAGCTTTTTTAAAGCGTAGTTGTAGCTTAGCAGTACACAATAATACTGCGATTGCTACCTGTATCATTACATGTCGTTAACATAATTTTTATGTTAATGATAACTTAATTAATCGAATAAAGCTTATTTTTACGATTTAATTAAGTATAGAGAAATAAGCTTCAACTTTTAATACAGTGGCATCTAGGATTTAAGTAGTATTATGTAAGTTACTCTAACCCCACCTGTTTCCCGGAAAAAAAAATAAAAGGTAGTGGCATGTTTGACATCCAGCGGCATCTATACGTTAAGGGTAAACTTCCCGGGGGTTGAAAGCATCCAAGCTCAGAACCAGGAATATAATTCCGTTGTTGTAACATAGATGGCGCTAGCGTATTATAACTACGTATTGATTATTCCTAGTTCTAACTTGTTATGATTGTGACGTATTTCGTAGCACGTTTCCAATGTTGTTAGACGGGGAGTCGCCATGAATGACGGCTGTAATGTAATGTTTCTGCGTAATCACTATGTCACGTAAATACGCAAGCTTGTGACGAACTTTCGGTTACGTTTGAAGTTTGATAACCCACGGTAATTCAAGGGCGAGGACGTAATTTCGATTACGTGTGTTTATCGAACTTGCGCAAAATGAGTATTCCAAAAATTTAAAGAAATTTAAATCCATAGCTTTTGTCTAAGCTTATTATAGGTAAAAGTTTTCACTTTAGTAATTGTAACGAACGTTTTAAAGTTTGTAAATGATGAAATATTTTTGGAGTTCAACTTCCTATGGTTAATTAATGGATGCCTGGACAAGATGATCTAGGGTGTCCCCTTGACGAATTTTTCAGCAAACTTTATGGTATTTAATATTGTGGTATAAATGTTCGCAAGATTGTCAAAAATACAGACTTCCAAATGCTATATTGTTTAATAATGATTGATTTTTTTTTTTACTATGAACATGGTATTTTTATATATTACCAAAGAAATGATATAAGACTTTCAGCACACATAAACGTCATCTAGATTTTTTTTATGTTCTACATGGAAAAGCTCTTAATTTGCGTGCCGTATCAGTTCAACGTATCGCTGCAGATTATCAGCTGTGCCGCGATAGGCCTGTGGGGGTGGCAGGGGGCAGTGACGTCATCGGCTCTGACGTTTGCTCTCAAATTGCCGGAGCGAATCGAGTTCCTACGTAAAGTTTGACGTGTTAGAGAAACTGCTGGCTTTGGACATTTTTGAAATACTTTCCTCAATGAATGGTGTTAATGGATAGAATAAAACAAAACTGGTTCCAAAAAAGAAGGAGGAAGATAAAATAAACCCTATGTTTTGTAAATCAGTCGAGTATTGGAACTGATGTGTGTAAATTTCTACATAGAATAAAAAGATAGGGTAAGAGCGTAAGTTCATCTGAAACTAAAGTATCACTCAACTGTTTAGTCACGCTTTGATTACTATGTGATTATATGGAGGTGCGCACACTAATCGGTTTTAATTGTGCATCTAAACAGTTGAATTGGCTGCGAAACAATGGACAATCGCACAACTGTTCTGTGATGGTTTAATCAAAGATGAGCGCCCGTTCTTACGAAGATCTCGTTTCTATTATTATTCTTTAATCTATTGGTATCAATTTATTGCAGCTTAATTTTAAGTAAGGAGTGGCCTCTTAATACGTAGGTATATTTTTATTACTACACTTGTACCTTATTCTGTATTCATATTTGCATAGAATACATTAATATGTTTGATACATACATATATGTAGTGGGATTTATTTTTATGGCTTAATTTGTCGATGATTTATTGATTTTGTTAATCAGTCGACAAAATGTAAATATTTAAATACAATATTTGTTAACCTTAATTATGTGAACAAACCTACTTTAAGGTTTCATCGTTAAAAAAACATACTCTGATATCAAATTATGATTATAAAATATTTTTAAGTTTCCGATCAAAGCAAATGTATTTTAAACTTTAAGCAACAAAAAGATAAAATGAAGCTACAAAACTGAAAAAACATATTTTCCTTTGATTTAGGGTCTGTAAGATTTTTGTGCCTAAATAAAAATGGTTTAATCGTTATTATAAAAAGCTTTTGAAAGCACACTTTAAAAAGTTATTTTTGTAGTTATGTTCAATATAAATAAAACGTTATCTTCCACAGACTAAGTTTTAAATTTTACACAAACATACTTGAGATGACCTTGACGGCAAACTACTGCGGTTGGTATAAAATAAAATTATATAACTAGGTATATGGAGGAATAAATTTGAATTAATTTCTATTTTGCGCTCGCTAAAACGTGTTAGAGGTATTTCTTGTTTGCAAATTTAGTAAAAGTTTCTCAACGGCCTTAATGATGTTAGCTAGCCTGTCGGCGAGCTAAACGCCGACTTACACACTCTTATCTTATGCAAATCTACTTTAGAACAACGTGATAATGTTCACACGATAGTTTTCTTTTTCTAGATAAGCTTTCTATAAGTTTTTATAGATGTATAATTCACGTGAATAATCATACTAATATTATATATGTGAAAGTTTAGATGGATGGATGAATTTCGGCTGAACGAATTTCGATTAAATTTGGCATAGATGTGGATAGTTTGGAAGAGCACATAGGCTATTCATTTCTTTTAAGTCCACGTGAACGGAGTCGCGGGCGACAGCTAGTATTTTATATAAAGGCTTAAAAATTAAATAGTAATAACTAACCTGTTGCGCCGACCCTACGGGCGGAGGATAAGGAGAAAGATGACGATGAACTAAGGTAACTACAAATTTCCTCGTGATGTAGATGGGTGAGTAAAAAATAGAAAACAATCTATGTTACATATTTTTGGATATTAGCTACGTTTATTTTTACTTTTACTTTATTCCTCATTTCTTTTTTTCTGTTCTCTTCTGATGTTCTAAAACTTATATTATCAGTTAGCAACGCGTTGGATTGTTGAATGTTGCGAGTTTTACCTAAAAGTCTAGACCGATAGACTACCGCCAAAGGGTAATACTATCTAGAAGAATTTTGGCATAATGCAGTTGTTTTTCTATACTAATATTATAAAGAGAAAATCTTTGTTTGATTACAATACGTTACAACGTAAAAACTCAAAAACTTCTGAGCCGATTTCAAAAATTCTTTCACCATTAAAAAGCTACGTTTTCAGTGAGTTAGATAGGCAATGTTTCATAATATTTTGTAATTTCACGCGGACGGAGTCGTGGACGATGCTAGTACTAAATTAATTATCAGATATTCGAATAAGGGAATTTTGAACCGAATGTAACATTTAGTTACTGCGCCAGCGCTGTGTTCAACTGTGTATTTACAAAAGGTGATGTGTAATATAGTGGTTCGTAAGATTTGTAAACACACAGCCTCTAGGAAATCTGTCTTTAAATAGACAAATCAATATTTGATGTCAATAACTTCGAATCAAAGTAGGCAGACGCATTGTGAAATAATGTTTTGTCACATGCATGTATAATTAATTTTTATCTCCATTGTTATACAATTTTGGATGATGTGTTTATTTTATTCGTTCGAAAGAAAAAAAGGACTTTTATGGGAATATTTATTCGATGAGGATTTCACAATCGGGCACTGTTGTCATAAAATGGCTTCAATGTTGACACTCGGCTTTAAGTGGTCATATCGACTTGCCGATTGTAACTTTAATATTAACATGATAAAAACATTATTCTCAGAATCAGAGATACTTGGTTTTATATTTGTATATCTCTTCGTACAAGTTAACTTACTAAAGTTCAATAGTAACTATTTGGGAATTTTATTGGGAAAACCTGAGAAAACCCCAATGATAGAACTTTGGGAATAACCTACTGTTCATAGAGAATTGCAATAACATAAAGTCGGAGACAACACTTTTCCACGTGCATTTGTAGGCTAAACATTAAAATTGTCGTAATTCGTTAGGAAAATAAATATGCCTCAAGATATTACGATTAATAAAGTGACACTATGTTGAATTTAAACAAGTCGCTATGATTTTAAGAGGAAAATTGTAGTTAATAGGCCAGGAAACCTGTTCTTTTAGCGGTAAGCCGTTAATAACAAGTTGTTACTGTGGCTTTCAGTGTTCCGTGTGGCGACGCGCAAAGTTTCGAGGAAGTTGGTGGGCGGCCGTCAGCCGGCAGCCGGCCGCGGCTGGCAAGGGCGTCCTTGAAGCGGGGCGCGGATCGATGCGTGACGTCATACCACGTAATACGGCGCGTGACGTCACGGGCGGTGTTCGATCGCGCCGCCATCCCCCATCCCCTAACGCCGGCATATTTTTAGACCGCGTGACGTAATTTCTGTTCGGAAAGCGATAGAGTCGCGCAAAATGAATGACTAAAAATGCGACTCCGTCAGCTGGTTTTGCCGTAGAATTAAACACTTGCCGCTTTTATTTTAGCAGCAGCGTGCTTAAACCTAATGGGCTCTTTATCAGATTATATAAAAATTGCGATATAAACATAGTGATTAACACTTACGTAAGCCGATTTGTAAAATAAGAAAGGAAACATATTCGTGATCGTAGATCTCTTCGATCAATGATTTTTTTCAATATTAAAAAAAGGTTTAGTGAAAGTAATTTATTTCGTTGATTTTTTTATAGATGGGACGAAACAGGTTTCAATATGTTTTAAATGTTAGTTTCCACTAATATATATATAAAATAAATTATATACCTAATGTAAAATAATCTATGTTAGTCCATGTAGGTTAATGGTCGATAAAACTTTTACGCGCGACAGCGAACGGTCCTACGGGGATGAGACGGCCGTAGTAAAAGTGACGCAGAGAGCAGACAGGATAGCGAAATTACCCCGGTGACGTCATCCCAGCCGCGACTGATAGCAAGCCTTATCAAATACGTATACATACGTGTACACTTCAGAAATTGCTACTGACGTCAGACAAACAGACAGGTTCATGATCTCCCTGGTCTTATACCACTCACGTAGGGTAGGCGTTTAAACTTAAAGTTTTGATTCAACTTACATCTTAGATGTTGGAATTAACAAGCTTAGTATACATATTATTTACCATACTTTAATATGTATTATTATTAATTGTATATTATGATAATAATTCTATATTATATGAATAACAATAACTTCTTATACCAATCTAGGTCTAAAGTTATGTTTAAGTAATTTTGAATTACTAAATTTTATACTATACTTTTAAACGATAATATAATTGTTATAAAAAAATATGTTTTCAATTTATTTAGGTTTCTCTAATCTCTATTATAAAAGTCTTCAATGAAGTTAATAACTATTTACATTAATAATTTATTTTATGTTATATCCTACTAGGGTTTGCTCGCGAACTCATCTGCGCGGAATTAAAAATCTTAGCAAGTAGCCGACGTATTCTTCCAGATTGTTCTATATCTGTGCTGAATTTCATCCAGAACTATAAGTGGTTTTGTAGATACGTATTAACATTCAGATTTATTTTTAGAAGATATATAAAAGCTATAGAAACTTGTTTGTTTTTATGGTAGGACCCCTCTACCCCACCTCTGTTGATTCTGCATTAGACATTAATGTCCAGTAATATTACAAACTTGCGAAAGGTGAAAGTTGTTATCTATTGTGTGTAAAGTAGCGGAAAATCAAATTAGTGCCGTGTTTTATGTAATTAATATTTAGTGACATGATAAATGTTCATCCCAAAGGCTAAGAATAGACATCGATCAATTATCACCTCTCACCGGTATACTGGAAAGAGATATTTTCAATGGAAGTAAAATATTACTTAAGTTATCAAGCCTTTTTTATTAGAAATCGGTTAACAATACGTGTGTCTATATTTTTAGTTTATTAATTAATTTCTCTAGATGTGATTTATTAAAAAAAGTCTTTATAAAAATCTTACGCTGTTTGGAATTGAAATTATATATGTATTTCAGTAAACCTTTTAGAAAACTCTTTTCTATTATTATTTATATGTTTTAAATTATAAAGTATTTAGCATTCCCGTCATCAATTGTGTAGCGGAGAGGATATTAGTGAGATTATAGATGTTACAATATTGGTAGTTGGCAATTTGCAAGGCATCTTGTATCTCGGCAGGTGCAACGTCTGCCGGTTGCGACAGGCTATTGGGCAAGATGGAGCCCCGGAGGCCATACACCTCGCCACCTCGGCCCGTCGACATTCGACATCCCATACTAGTCTTACCTAACGCCCCGATACAAACAAAAACGGAATTAACTCACTCATATACCGTCCGTTTCGTAAATACTTAATTAAACTTTATCTTGTACCGATAGCGAGCATTTTACGTTTTTCGATGACAGCAAAACATGTTCTACTAAATTGGACGCAGGTCTAATATTTGATGTTCGCGAGTTAATTTCATGTTAGCTAATCAAAGCCGATATTAATGTCCGTAATGACAGTCCGCCGGCCGGTTTTGTATCCAACTCACTAGATTTTAAGTATTCTTGTATCTCGCCACTGAATATTGTGTTGTAAACGTTTAAAAATTAACGCCTAAGTTTCCGTATTGGATAAAAACAGCAGAGCATTCGAATACAATAGTTTCTTTTAACAAAATTCTGATTAATCTCTTCATAAATATTAATAATGTATGGCACGTAAAATATTGAATGTTGATTTTATCGAACTTAGATGTTAGAATACCAATACGCATGTTTTACTTGATAATTCTCATACAAGCACTGTGATTTTTTTTAGTTGTTAAATAATTGGAGAGGAAAAAGAAAAACGGTGAATAAAATTAATAAACCAAAAATAAGCTTTGAAGGAATTTAACTTAAGGAAAACTATCAATTGTAATTGACTGTGATTTAAAAAAGTCAAACTAAGCAAAAGAATGCCTAAATGTTATAGACTTACATCTATTTATCTATGCAATAACGCGAGTTGCTTAAAATTTGTATCAGAAAGCTTCCATCTAAAGTGTTTCAAGTTCATTTTAAACAATAATTAAAGGTAGATGATGTTTTAGAAATAAATGCAAATACAATTTATTGGAATGTTAAAATACGGCGAGTGTCATCTTGACCGTTTCAGAATTGTTTCGAAGTGTTTTGCCGCCTTTTATACCTCGTCAATATTCGCGCTTAGTTCGCGTCGTCGGTAACAGTAAAAGTTATTGTGACACCGAAACTTTTCAATAGCGGTGTCGAATGCACATTTAGCGCTTTTCTGTGGTGTTAATGAATAATGCGGATGTTTGTTTACGTCGGCTACGCGCCGGCCACAGACGCATAATATTTATTTTATGTCACTTCTTGTCTTTTACAATATTTGAGTAATTAATTACGTTTTTAATTTTTTGTGAGATATTTTTAACATAATGAAACTTACGAATTTGAAATAATAATGTTAGATTAATAAGGAATCGGAACTTCATATGTAAATTTTATTAATAAATTTTTATTTGTCCATCGTCTTAGGAAATTCTCTAAAGCTCTCAAAAAGCTTTACACAGTTTTAATTTTTTTCTCCGTTAAATTGATTTGTATTTACTTAAAATTGTAAAAACTATAAACATTTATGCATTAAGCAGCATGAACTTTTTAATTTTTCTTTTAAAATTTCACCACGTTACAAATCATTAAATAAAAACAATTGGTTAAAATAAAAACAATAAAATTTAGATGTGGGTATAAAAAGAAAAAAAATTAAAAAGTTTTCAGCAAAATAAATAAAGAAAACAAAAAGGGGTTTACATACGTATGTGTTGGAATCGTTTAAGGGCGCAGTGTTTGTTGGAGGGCGTCAGCAACGCACCTCGCATCCTAGCCGATGGCCATCGTCACGACAGTTCCACACAGAGTCTACAATATCCAGAGGTTCTACACAACGAAAGCGAAAATAAACACAGAAGTAGGGGTCCGCGAAACGTCGTGCGGGCGCTGACCTGGCGCAGGCTTGTCGGGGTCCAGAGATGCGGCGCACGGCTCCAGGGTCAGGTCGAGGCACCCGCCGGACAGTCCTAGCTCGCTCAGCAGGATCCTCATGCGGCCGAGCACATTCCACTCACTGCACGCGCACTCACTCACTTGGTCGCTCAGTCGCTCTGAAGGCTCGCGGGAAAGCGCGCGGAAGTACGCGCCGGTGAACGGTCGGTGCGATACTGAGGCCGCCGCCGCCGAGGCTGGCGGCTATATCGCGCCGTCTGACGTCACGGCCGCGACGTCACGCGCGACGTCACTAACGGTACCTCCCACGGCCCGCCCGCCGCCGCCCGCCCGCGCCCGCCGCCCGCCGCCCGCCCGAGCCTGCACTAACGGCACTGCGAGTACGCGGAGCTTTCGTACGCCCGCTGCCTCCACAACGCGCGCTGCCGCCGCCTGCCCGCCGTTGCCCGCTACCCACTGCCCGCTACCCGCTACCCGCTGCTTACTGCCCACGGACTCTTCCCTAAAAAAAATAAAATAAATGTGATATCATTTAACTCATTGCAAGCTTTTATTAAATTCTTGGAAGGTGAGCGTTAATAATTTGAAATACAGATATGTTTTTGTTTCATGAACAAATTCTAATTACAGGGTTGCAATTATTATTTCTAATTGTAAAAATTGAGTTATAATGGAAGTGAAGGTGGTGACTTAATCATAAATTAAACGAAACGAGCTTTTGTCGAATTCCTAAATAATATGTAGATATTAATAAATATAGTCGCTAGAAATAAAGTTCCGTATGAATATTCAGGAGAGTGAAATCGAAACTTAAAACTAAAACTAGATTATTCAAAGCTATAAAACATTAATTTCGCCACATCTAGCGATCCTATTTGGTTATTTATAATGAGTACTGATTTCAAACCTGAGTTCAGTCACTAATGGGCGTAAAGTTTCACTAAAAAGAGATGTTGAAAAATGACATGGTTTGTTAAATATCGTAGAAATAAAAGCTTACATTACACTGTAATACGAAAATAAAGAAGTTCTTTTAATATTAAATCACATGAATTTATTATTTTTCATAAGTTATAGCACTTACTTATTTTGTCTCAAGTGGTAAGATAACTTCATGATAAGCAAGCTCTAAAAAGTGGGTTAAGGTCATTTAAACTTACCCTAGAATTAAGTGACTTACGAAGAAATATTTTTGGAATAGTATAAAATGCTTCTATGTATTCAGTTGAATAGTTTTTTACAATTGGAGTTTTGAAAAATAAACTTTATGTTTGTGCTTTCAGATCATCAACGGTACGCCGTTGAGCTGACCGTTGAGCTACAGCTCAAATGCATGATTGTCTTTCAGTCTTTATTCGAAGTTGTAAGATTCAACGTTCTTTACACATGTGTATGTTGACGTGATCTCATCAGCAAGAAATATGAAAATATTTGTATAACGTTATGCTTACGGATTCAACTTGAGGGCAGCAATTACAAAATGATTGCACTAAAATTGCGGAGCTTTTGGTTTTCGTGCGTAAATTCCAAAATTCTTTGTCCGTAATTAGGTGTCATTACACGTAATTACTGTTGATACTAAACGCGGGTCGTACGACTGAAATCGGAATTGTTTTCATACCGAGACACCTTTTTGTGGTGAAACGTCAATTATTTAAAAAATATCAAAATATTTTTTGGAAATCAAAAATATACTTTACTCAATTTATATGACAGAGTATTCTGTGTGTACTGTTTGTAGTTAGGTGATTAATTTTGTTAGTGCCTTTTAAAATTCCTATCATATTTTCTTAAATCCAAAACATTTTTAGAATTTCTGGCACTATAACACGGTGACTGAATTTAAAAGAATTTCAAACGTTTTTTCCGGAGACTTTTTATTGGGTCGTTAGCATTCAATCGATATAACAATTGAGGCTTATCAATAATAATACCAAGCTAGTATGTTTTGTGTCAGATTTAAAGCGGTTTTCAATACATTTATTTCCTATACGCCTTATTTTATTTAATTTTATAAACTATCAACATGTTGCGAGTGAACAGCTATCTTATTACTTTTTAAACATTGTTTTTTCTCTAGCTTCAGAAAGTCCCATAATTATTTGACAATGCTGTTACCTAATGCAGTCTCTTTAAATTTATTCGCGTTTTATAAATACAACCAGATTACGTTATATGTTTCAAGGTCACAATCTCACAGTGCAACAGAGTTATATACTGTTGGCGGTTTTCGTTATGGTTTTAACCATAGGCGAAGCTGCGTTTTTGAGTACTAATGATGACTAATGTTGATGCACAAATATGCTTGAATTTATTTTAGTACTAAAACCCACCTTAGTAAGTAAATTGATAGAAAATGAGTCAAAATTATTACTACGAAGTTTTGTAGTAGTACAAACACTAGTCGATAGATATCGTAGTGTTTAGTATTTGTGTATAAGTGTCGCGTTGGACGCAATTAGGTACGGATCGAGGTTCGGAGACAAATGCAGCGGTGACGCGGCGTCGCGGCGTCCGGCGCATCGCGGCCCCATTCGCCAGCGCCGGCAGCGCGCCTTCCGCATTGCGAGGGCGACTCACCGCGGCTATACACAGCCACCCAGTCTATTCTCTTCGCATATGGGACGCTCTGACAGATTGCCTGATTAATTGTCAACTGTATTCGAAACTTTATGGATTGTACTGATTTTATTTTGGAGTAAAACAAACAGATGCGTTACGTCCGTAGTGGTTAAACAAACGGTTTTAGAATCGTTTAAGTTTTCTCGTTTAGTTGTTTATTTTATCACAAACAAACATCTTTTAAATTGCATTAAAAGTGATTTCTTCAGTTTGGTATTGGTAGTAAGTCTCCACTGTCATAAAAACTTTATAGAAATACCGCCGGGCCTGTAATTTTATCCAAGAACAGAAATTACTAAATTTTTGTATAGAGTTGTTAGTTGAAATTTAGTGTAGTTAATACTGCGAGCTTTTGCGTGTCGTTAGTGCAGTCTATAGTCTTCCTTGGCGTCCGCATTCAGTGCATGTATTTGCGGCAGGTCGGCGGTCGGCTGCGGCCCGCCGGCGGTCTGTGGTCGCATGCCCTAGTACTATTTGTTGCTCGGCGCGGGCAAACGTCCAGTTATTCTAATTTTACTTATAATCGATGCCGGCCGCTTTGCCGACTCATCGACAAAAGACTTGCTCATCCGTCAAAGGGGAAGCGGTATGAGTGTTACCTCTGAGTTTAAATTTATTTTAAAAGATAAAAAAAAATAGTTTTTATCAAGACAGTAAGGAAAAGCTATAATTTGACTTTCGTAAATAAGATTTAATTAAACATTTTTGACAAGTTAAATCGTCGTATATTCTTGATGATTAATGATCGGGTAAATTATATTTGTAAGTAACAATTATTGACTAGTGAAACCGCACAGCGCCTCTTTAAAATGTTAGGAAAGCTGGAAATCGGTAGTCATCATAACTATTACAATAAAACTAAGAATCCTCCCCAGTTGTGTTAACCCCAGCCCTGGCTTATATAATTTTATAATCAGTACCGGTTCTAGAGCTAGTAGCGTACTGGACGAGATTTTTAAGGCGCCCTCATTATCTTTAAGGGTGGGGGTTATAAGGGTTACGTGAGATTGTGTTCCCTTTTTGACCAGGGCCCTAGTAGAACGCCTAATCGCGCCTTTCCATAACACTGACACTATTCATATTACAAATTTTAAGAATTAGTCCATATAAAACTAAACAGAACAAAAAAGATGTAGTTGTTACTCAAATTTCACGGTTGTTGCTATACTGTTCAATTTACTTTGTATTTATAATAATCGACTTTCCCCAGTATAACATAAAGGTGAATTTCGACCCGACATCATTATCGTAAGGCTGTAGGGGACAGACTTATGGTTAATTATTATTAGTCGTAACAAAATTACATCGCCAATAACATTGTTTGGTGTCAGTTTGCTTTTGAGTGCGATCGATGCAATTCAATTGAAATAAAAGAGTTTAGAGAAAATAAAATAATATTATTTTATATGTAGCTGAGGATTATAGCTGAAAGTCTAAAGGAAAAAAAGAGAGAGAGGTAAGTCATAAAATTTTAACCATTATTTAAATCTTCATTATAGTTTTGATGGGTTTTCATTTCATACTCATTTGCTTCATTTTCCATATATTACTGTTTTATAAATACAATTTTCCGTCATCGTGATAAATGTTAAACTGCAGTAAACTGTGAACAAAGATTAAAACTTTTTTTAGGTTATTATTTTTGTTAGTTTCGATATAGTTTAAATAAACTGAATTATTAGTAGTTACTTGAGAACTCGTAATACGGAGTTCGGCAATATGACAAATGTAAGTTGTGCTGATTAACTTGTTGTAAATTAACAAAGTTGCTCTTTTTACATTTAGACATTAGGTCATTTGAATTTCGATTATTACTAGATTAAAGTTTAATAATATTTTATTACATTAAAATACATTACCTACATCAAGATGCAGAATATAAATGACTATGGCAATGAAATACAAAGTAACATAGGCGTGGTAAACTGTGAGTTGAATTACAATTACTACTAGAATATATAACATGCAAAACATCTGAACTACATAAATGTTTGTATAAAATAGGCATAAAACTAATTAAATGAAAAAATTACGTACGAAATGAAGTTTTTTTATGAGCATAGTTAGGTACTATACTCGGATATGTGATAATGTAGAAATAAGCGTTATTTTTGTATAACATGTTTGTCTTAAAATCTGTGGGATCAAGTTGATAACAGTTTTTATACATCAGCTGCGAGTAGAACGCACCCCGCGCCGCGGCCCCCTGGCGTCATCTATATTTAATACGCACCCATCGATAAGCGTGTAGCCGCGAGCCACGCGCATGTGTGCGCGCCGGCTCGTATTTGAGTGAACGCAGCGGCATCAACGGCGCGCAAGAGAATTATAGCGTGAACGCGACTTGTTTCGATGCCGTCAGCGCATACATTCAACGTTGTGTGCGATTGTAAATTGTACTAATTGGGCATGGCGGTCTCTTCTGACAAAACAGTGCTATCATCAATAACAGCCCCAGTGGCCATATTATACAACGTCTGCACAAACCACCAGTGAATTCTAAAGTCGTGTCGAAATTCAATACAAACGCGACGCATGCAAAACTATCGTGTACTATTGAGTGCAATATGCACTTTGCCAGTGTGTGTGTGTGTGTAGTGTTCGCAAATAGTTAGTGCGAAAGGTGCTCGACGCAATGATAACTATTGTAAGTACATACGAGTCTAATTAATATATTCCGAGCAGACGGCATAGATATTTTGAGGTTATGTTTTAAAATGCCGATAAAATTGTATCATTGCCGAGCGATCATATGTATGTTATCGTTGGCAGGAATGTTGTCAAATTAGTTTTGGTATGACAAACGGGTCCTGTAATTATCGATCACGTTATCACGAGTTAAAAGCTACAAAAGTAGAAATAATATTTGGCGGCTAATCAAGTATCGTGAGTGTGTATGAAACGGGTTGTTGTTTAATGTCGGATATAAAT